TGGGCTCCTGGATTTAGTGAAGGATCTGGTATTGTGGTGACATTTAGTAAATTGCTGGTATTCTCATAGACATCAAAATTCCTAGAATTATAATAGATTAAAAATAAAGTATAGGGGCTGGGAAGGTGGCTCAGTGGTAGAGTGCTTCCCTTGCGTGCCTGAGACACTGGGTTCGATTCCTCAGCATCACATAAGCAAAAAGAAAAAAGCGGGAAGTGGCTCTGTGGCTCAAGTGGTAGAGCACTACCCTTGAGCTGAAGAGCTGAGGGACAGTGCCCAGGCCCAGAGTTCAGGCCCCACAACCGAACCCCCCCAAAAAAAATAAAAATAAAAATAAAGTATACATTTAGACATTTTTGGTATATTTATAAAGTTAAGCAATCTATACCATTATGTGATTCACAACATTTTCCATCACCCCAAATAGAGACCATGTACTCAATTAGCAGCTCCTTTGTATTTTTTTCTGCCCCCTGCCTCAGGCAACCACTAATCTACTTTCTGTTTTATAAATTGGCTGGTTCTAAACATTATGCCAATTCAAGTATCTACTATGTGGTCATTTGTTTCTGGCTTTTTTCACATATTTATATTTTCACAGTCTGTCTATATTGCAGCATGTATCAGTACTTAATTCCTGCTTCCACCTCACAGTGTTAAAGCAAATAGTATTTCGTAGTATGTTTCTTTTCTCTCTCTCTTTTTTTGGTGCCAGTACTGGGGCTTGAATCTGGGCCTGGGCACTGTCCCTTAGCTCAAGGCTAGTGCTCTACCACTTGAGCCACAGTGTTACTTCCGGTTTTCTGGTGGTTTATTGGAGATAAGACTTTCCTGCCCAGGCTGGCTTTGAACTGCCATCCTCAGATCATTGAGCCATCAGGGCCTGGTTTTTTTTTTGTTTTTGGTCTGTCTTGGGGCCTGAACTCTGGGTCTGGGCGCGGTCCCTCATCTCTTCAGCTGAAAGCCAGCACTCTACCACTTGAGCGTCAACCCCACTTCTGGCTTTTTCTGCTTATGGGGTGCTGAGGAATCTAACCCAGCGCCTCATGCATGCAAGGCAAGCACTCTACCACTGAGCCACCTTCCTAGCCCCTCAATTAATTTTATTTATTTATTTATTATATGACACCAAGGAATCGAGCCCAGGGCCTCATACATGCTAGGCAAGCACTCTGCCGCTAAGCCATGCTCCCAGCCTTCTTTTTTTTTTTGGTGCTGGTTCCAGGGCTTGAACTCTGGGCGTGGGCACTGTCCTTTTGCTCAAGGCTAGCACTCTACTACTTAAGCCACAGCTCCACTTCTAGATTTTCTTGGTAGTTTAGTGGAGATAACATTTCACTGTGGCTGAGTGCTGGTGGCTCACGCCTGTAATCCTAGCTACTCAGAAGAACCTCGTCTGTGGATCACAGTTCAAAGCCAGCCTGGGCAGGAAAGTCCATAAGTCTCTTTTTTTAAAAAAAATTGTGAAAATACTGTACAGAGGGTTACAATTACATGGGCAAGATAATGAGCACATTTCTTATCAAGCATTGTAGCCTCCTCCTTTGTTTCCCCTTCCCATCTCATCCTCTCCCCCTCCCCCCACCATGAGACTCTTATCTCCAATAAACCACCAGAAAACTAGAAGTGGCATGTGGCTTAAGTGGTAGTGTGCTAGCCTTGAGCTGAAGAGCTCAGGGACAGTGCTCAGGCTTGTTCAAGCCCCATGACTGGCCAAAAAAAAAAAAAAAGAGTTTCACAGTCATTCCTGCCTGGGCTGGCTTAGAACCGTAATCCTCAGATCTTAGTCTCCTGGATAGCTAGAATTACAGGCACGAGCCACCAGCACCTTGCTTGACCTGAATTTTTCTAATGGAAAAAAGAAATGTTAGAGCTGATAAAAACTTTAAAATTTGGGCTGCAAAGAACACTATGAGGATAGTGAAAAGGGAATCCACAAAACAAAAGAAAGCGCGCGCACACACACACGTGTGTGTGTGTGTGTGTGTGTGTGTGTGTGTGTGTGTTTCAAGGGGCTAGTGTCAGGGTACTAGAACTCCTACAACTAACCACAAACCCTCCCAACTCAGCAGACAAACAACCCAACTAAAAAACAAGCAAAGAAGCTGGATGTCAGCTGTGGCTGATAGCTGTAATGTTGGTCACTCAGGAGGCTAAGATCTGAGGATGGTTGCTCACGCCAGCCCTGGAAGGAAAGCATGGGAGACATTTAATAACAAAAAAGCTGGAAGTGGAACTGTGGCTCATGTGGTACCAAAGCTCAGGGTTAGCGCCTAGGCCCTTCAAGTCCCAGGACTGGTTAAAAAAAAAAAAAGAATTTGAATAGATATTTTCCCAGAGAAAATGTATAAAGGGCCAATAAACACATGAAAAAATATTTAGTATCATTTTTCACTAGAGAAAAGTAAAGTGAACATCACAATAACTATCACTTTATCTTTACTAGATCATCTTATGTTTGCAAGGATATAGAGAAACTGCAAAATCATGGAAATGTAAAATGGCAGAATATAGAGTGTGGTCTGGAACTTCCTCAAAAAAATAGTTAAGCTGGAAAAAAAAAAGTAGCCAAACTAAGCATAGCAGCATACACCTACAATCCTGGCTACTGGAAGCTAAAACAGGAGAGTTGAGAGTTCAGAGACTAGGCTGCCTAGAAAAAACTCTGTCTCGGGCTGGGAAGGTGGCTCAGTGGTAGAGTACTTGCCTTGCATGCATGAGGCACTGGGTTCAATTCCTCAGCACCATATAAGCAGAAAAAGCCAAGTGGTGCTGTGGCTCAAATGGTACAGTGCTAGCCTTGAGCTGAAAGCTGAGGGACAACACCCAGACCCAGAGTTCAGGCCCCACGACCAGAAAACAAAACAAAACAAAAAAAAACCTCTGTCTCAAAAAGGAAAAAAGAAGAAAAAGAAAATTTTGTAATAAGGTGCTGATAGTGATTTAGGAATCTGAGATCTGAGGACCAAAGTTTGAAGCACAGGAAAGTCTGTGAGACTCTTTTATGTATTTATTTTTTTGTTGGTTGTGGGGCTTGAACTCTGGGGCCTGGACACTGTCCCTCAGCTCTTTAGCTCAAGGCTAGTGTTCTACCACTTGAGCCACAGTGCCACTTCTGGTTTTCTGGTGGTTTATTGGAGATAAGAGTCTCATGGACGATCCTGCTTGGGCTGCCTTTGAACTACAGTCCTCAGATCTCAGCCGTCTGAGTAGTTAGGATTACAGGCATGAGCCACTGACGCCTGGTTTATGAGACTCTTATCTCCAATTAAACACCAAAAAAACTAGAAGTGGAGCTGTGACTCAAGTGGTAAAGAGCTAGCTTTGAGCAAAGAAGCTCAGGGACGTCCCTAGGCCTGAGTTCAAGCCCCAGGACTGACATAGAAAAAAGAAAAAAGAACAAAGAAAATTTTCTACATGGGGTTATCATATGCCTCAGTAATTGTATTCCTATGTGTACACCCAACAGAACTAAAAGGACACATTCACACAAATCCTGCATGTACATGGGTATGAACAGCAGCTCTATCCACGCAGCCAAAAGTGAATACAACTAAATGTTTATTGAGTCATGAGTACAAAACAACTATGATCCATAAACTAAATATTATTTAGCCCTAAAAAGAAATGAACTCACCTGGAGTAGTGGCCTTTATCTGTACCATCAGCTACTTAGGAGATGGAGATAGGGGAATCAAGATTTGAAGCAGTCTAGGAAGAAAAGTAAGGCTCTGTCTCAACAAACAGACTGTGTATAATAGTGCACATCTGTAGGAAGTGGAGGGTTGAAGGATTATGGTCTCAGACTAGCCCTGACAAAAACACTGGATAATACCTGAAAAATAATGACGCAAAGGAGGCTGAATGTGTGGTTCAAGTATTAGCAGTACCCCTCCCCCTATACACACAAACCAACCTTTTCCACCAATTATTTCAATTTGCTTTTTTTTTTCCAGTCCTGGGGCTTGAACTCAGGGTCTCTGAGTTCTATCCCAGAGCCTTTCTGTGCTCAAGGCCAGCACTCTACCACTTGAGCCACAGTGCTACTTTGGCTTTTTTTCCCACCTTTTTCTATATACTTTATTGGAGTCTCACAGACTTTCCTGCCTGGGCTGGCTTTGAACTGTCATCCTCAGATCTCAGCCTCCTGTGTAGTTAGTGTTATAGGCATGAGCTACTGGTGCCTGGCTTGAAATTCCTGATTTTTTTTGATGGTAGTGGGGATTGAGCTTAAGGTCTCTTACCTAGTTATAAGGCAGGCACTGTACCAGTTGTGCTTTACCTCCAGACACACCCCCCGCTTTTTTTTTTTGGGTCCGGTCGTGGGGCCTGAACTCTGGGCCTGGGCACTGTCCCTCAGCTCTTCAGCTCAAGGCTAGTGTTCTACCACTTCCAGCTTTTTTCTTTTTGCTTATGTGGTGCTGGGGAATTGAACCCAGGGTCTCAGGCATGCAAGGGAAGCGCTCTACCACTGAGCCACCTTCCCAGGCCCCCCCCCCCTTTTTTTTGTGGTGATACTGGGGTTTAAACTCAGGATCTAAGTGCTCTCCTTTAGTTTTTTGCTCAAGGCTAGTGCTCTACCACTTGAGCCACAGCTCCAGTTCCAGCTTTTTGTTGATTATTTGGAGATAAGAGTCTCACCAACTTTCCTGGCTTTGAGCCAGGATCCTCACAACTCAGTCTTCTAAGTAGTTAGGATTACAGGCAGGAGCCACCCGTGCCTGGCTCTGTGTCTTAAAAAGTTTTACAGCTTTGGTTCTTTTGTGACCACTGAGTTCCTGCACTGCCTGAGGCTCAGAGGCTCCAGAGATCCGGTAAGCAATCTCCTGAGGGTGGAAAGTGTGGTGGAGCCTTGTTCTGAGACTCGTCTGTCTCCTTCCCATCTGCCTGGTCAGTCATAGACCCTGACTTTGGGAAGCACTCATCCTTCTTGTAGGTATTTGTGGTTTTTTAGTTTGCAGGTTTCATTGCCTTTTCTGTTTTGTTTTTGTTTTTTGAAGGTAACAAACGAAGAGGACTTTATTAGGAAATTGGACTGTAAACCTGATCAGCATCTGAAGGTGGTTTCCATTTTTGGAAATACTGGTGATGGAAAGTCTCATACCCTCAACCACACTTTCTTCTATGGCCGTGAAGTCTTCAAAACTTCTCCTGCCCAGGAGTCCTGCACGGTGGGAGTGTGGGCTGCCTATGACCCAGTGCACAAAGTAGCAGTGATAGACACAGAAGGGCTGTTGGGGGCCACGGTGAATCTCAGCCAGCGAACACGGCTGCTGCTCAAGGTTCTGGCCATCTCAGACCTGGTCATCTATCGAACTCATGCAGACCGGCTACATAATGACCTCTTCAAATTCCTTGGGGATGCCTCAGAAGCTTATCTAAAACACTTCACCAAGGAGCTTAAAGCTACCACTGCCCGCTGTGGCCTAGATGTCCCTTTATCCACCCTGGGCCCTGCAGTTATTATTTTCCATGAGACTGTACACACTCAACTACTGGGCTCTGGTGAGTAAACAGGGCACAGGGTCCCAGAGTGCCCCTTCTGGGTACAAGGAGATGGCTATGAGAGGCAGTGACAACCTGGCTGAGGCCAGGTGCTTGTGGCTCATGCCTATAACCCTGGCTACTCAGGAGACTGAGATCTGAGGATCACAGTTTGAAGCCAGCCCAGGTAGGAGAGTTTTTGAGACTTATCTCCAATTAACCATCAGAAAACCAGAAGGGAGCCGGGTGCCGATGGCTCACGCGTGTAATCCTAGCTACTCAGGGGGCTGAGATCTGAGGATCGCGGTTCAAAGCTAGCCCGGGCAGGAAAGTTCGTGAGACTCTTATCTCCAATAAACCACTAGAAAACCAGAAGAGGTGCTGTGGCTCAAGCGGTAGAGCGCTCCCCTTGAGCTGAAGAGCACAAGGACAGAGCCCAAGCCCAGAGTTCAAGCCCCACGACAAAAAAAAAGAAAAGAAAAAAAAGAAAACCAGAAGGGGAGCTATTGACTCAATGTGGTGGAGCATTATCCTTGAGCACAAAAGCTCAAGGACAGTGCCTAGGATCTGAGTTCAAGCCCATGACCAACCAAAAAACAAAGCAAAAAAAAAAAAACACTGGCCACCAGTGGCTCACACCTGTAATCCCAGCTACTCAGGAGGCTGAGATCTGAGGATCATGGATCAAGGCTAGCTCGGGCAGGAAAAGTCTGTGAGACTCTTATCGCCAATTAATGACAGGAAGTAGCGCTGTGGCTCAAGTGGAATAGCACTAGCCTTGAGCTGAAGAGCTGAGGGACAGCGCCCAGGCCCAGAGTTCAAGCCCCAAGATCAAAAAACAAAACAGAAGTACCTCTCACTCAAACACACTGGTTCTGGCAACACAGAATTAGGGTTGAAAGCTTGACTAGAATGAGATGAAGAAAGAATAGGTGAACTGGACACATGACTCACACCTATAATCTAGTTTGGGATACTGAGACTGGAGAATTATGATCTTGAGGCTAGCCTGTACCTCATAGAGCCAGCTACCTCCTTCCCTTCCTTGTCCCTCCTTTTCTTCCCTTCATTTATTTTGGTACTGGGCTTTGAACTCAGGGCCAGGGTTACTATACCTTAGCTCTTTTGCTCATGCTAACATTCTACTACTTGAGCTACAGCTGCTGGTTCATTGGAGGTAAGAGTCTCGTGGACTTCGGACATTTCTACCTGGACTGGCTTCAAACGAAAATCCTCAGATCTCTGCCTTCAGAGTATCTGGGATTATAAGTATGAGGCATTGGTGCCTGAATATTATTTAAGGTTTTTTGTTTTTGTCAGTCATGGGGCTTGAACTCTGGGCCTGGGTGCTCCCTCAGCTCTTCATCTCAAGGAGAGTGCTCTACCACTTGAGCCACAGCACCACTTCCGGTTTTCTAGTGGTTTATTGGAGATAGGAGTCTCATAGTCTTTCCTGCCCGGGCTGGCTGTGAACCGAGATCCTCAGATCTCAGCCTCCTGAGTAGCTAGGATTACAAGCGTGAGCCACCGGTGCCGGGCTTATTTAAGTTTTTAAGAAATATTAAAAAAATATTTAATTGTACAAAGCAGTTTCAGTTGAGACCTTGTCTTTTGGTGTCTGCATTTTTTAGTGTTATTAAATAGTTTTGCAAAGGCTTACAATTCTATAAGTCAGGTAATGTGTACTATGTTTCTTGGTCAATGTCACCACTTCCTTTTTTTCCCTTAATTTTTTCTTTTAAAGGAGAATTAAGGATGTGAGTATACTGAACTCTTTACAAGGGTTCTAGCAAGGGGAGGAGAGCAGTGTAGTGGCGGCTGGACACTGAAGTATAATTTCAAAGTTTAAAATAGAGATATTACAGATCTTGGTGTATTGATAAGGCAAATGCAAGAAAGAGAGCAGGTACTTAACACGTGTAAGGCCTTATATGCAGTCCCAGCACTGTTTAAAAAAAAAAAAGAGCTGGGAAAGTGGCTCAGTGGTAGAGTGCTTGCCTTGCATGCATGAGGCCCTGGGTTTGATTCCTCAGCACCACATAAGCAAAAAAAGCTGGAGTGGCACTGTGGCTCAAGTGGTAGAGCGCTAGCCTTGAGCTGAAGAACTGACTGAGGGCTAGTGCCCAGGCCCAGAGTTCAGGCCCCACAACCAACCAAAAAAAAGGAAGAAAAGAAAGTAGGGTTAGGCACCCATGGCTCACATTTGTAATTGTAGCTACTCAGGAAGCTAAGATATGAGGATTGTAGTTCAAACCAGCCCTGGCAGGAAAGTCCAGTAAACTACCAAATAAACTTTTCTCCAATAAACTACCAAAAAGCTGGAAGTGTAGCTATAGCACAAGTAGTAGAGCACTAGCCTTAAGCTTAAGAAGCTCAGGGACAGTGCCCAGACCCTGAGTTAAAGCCCTAGGAGCAGCAACAAAAAAACAAAAACAAAAAGGGGAGGAGATGTAGGAAGAATTGGAGAGATTTACTGGAGAAAGAGTCAACTTTAGTCAGGACTATGGACAATTTATCCACATCAACAGGTGAGAGAGAAGTGTGTGTGTGTGTGTGTGTGTGTGTGTGTGTGTGTGTGTGTGTGTGTGTGTGTGTGTGTGTGTGTGTGTGTGAATTCTTGTCTTACTGTTTTCATGTTCTCAGGGAACTAGAGAGCAATATGGTCACTAAATAGGAATCTGAGGGAACAAATGCAACATCAGTGTTGGGTCGGGGTGATAACAGTATGACCCCTAAAACAGTTATACCATTCACCCTTTCATTCATTTAGCAGAGACACTGGACACAGAGCTAAGGACCAAATCCCCATCATTGAAAGGCTCACAGCCTAATTAGGGAGACCAAGCACTGCTCTGTTCAGCAGATACTACTAGGGACTATGGGAGTACAGAGGGTTCTGCACCTGAGTAGAGATCTCAGAAGGAGGAGGAGGCCATGTGCTCCTGCTAAATAAAGGAGGGAGGTTGATGTTCTGGGAATCACAAACCCAGCTGGATTCATACAGTAACTTGTGTTCTGGGAACTGCGAGTGGTTCTGGAAGAGCTTCCTGCATTCTAGCTTCATCCTGTAGTATGCCTGCATGCCTTTTCTACCTAGCATCTATAGAGTATAGACCAATCTCCTCATTATGTGTCCTCACCCTATGTGTATCTGTGCTTTCAAGTATTGCCACCTTTACTTCCATCTTTGCACGTGTGCTCTGTCTGCCAGGCCCCTGAGCCCAGGCTGGCCTACATCTTAGATTCAACTCAACTTTCATCCCTATAGTGCTTTTCCCAACTGCCCCCAGTACACCTTACTTACACTCTCATCATGTCTTCCTGTTCTTTGGCTCCTATCAAGTCTGAAATCATTACAGATGCTGTGTATTTGCTGTTGGTCTTTTTTATTAGAATGGAAACAGCACAAGGGTAGAAACATGGCCTGAGTTATTCACTGCTGTATCTGAAGAGCCTGGAGGAATGTTTGACACTAAAAGAGTGTGTATCCAAAGCATAACTTGCATGTATAGGATGAAATGGTAAAGATACTCAGAAGCCTCTGAAAGAGACTTATCTATCTGTACTTCAAAAATCTCCCTCAGTACCAGCCTGCAGTTGGAGAAGCTTGTCAAGAGGTTCTTGTAGTATTCAGGTGAGAAGAATTCAGAACTGTCAGGATAGAGACAGTAGGAGGGCAATGGAGGAGGGAAGTGGACAGATTGGGCCATGGGCCATCACAGAGGTGGTTCTGTCCAGTGGATGATGATGGTCTCAATGACTCATGACCTTCCAGAATGGAGGAATGGACTCCTTCCTTCCTGAGAAGGAGAGGAGATGTGGGCAGTGCTGACCTCCTGTTATCAGCCTTGCCTGCAATTTTGGATCTTCATTTTAGGATTTTGAAAGAGCCAGGTCCTCAAAAATTTACACCGTACCATGTACTCTATGTGAGGTGTTTTAATTTTTATTTTTGCCAGTCCTGTGGCTTGACCTTGGCTTGGGTACTATTCCTTAGCATTTTGCTTCACTTCCAGCTTTTTGGTGGTTAATCGGAGATAAGAGTCTCATGGATATTCCTGGCCAGACTTGCTTCAAACTTTGGTTCTTAGGGGTTGGGAAGGTGGCTCAGTGGTAGATTGCTTGCCTTGCATGCATGAGGCCCTGGCTTCGATTCCTCAGCACCACATAAACAAAAAATTGAAAGTGGTGCTGTGGCTCAAGTGCTAGAGTATTAGCCTTGAGCGAAGAGCCGAGGGACAGTACCCAGGCCCAGACTTCAGGCCCCACAACTGAAGAAAAACAAAACAAAACAAAAAAAAAACCCAAACTTTGGTTCTTAGATTTTAGCCTTCTGAATAGCTGTGGCACCCAAGGTTTTCTTTTCTTCTTTTCTTTTTTTCTGGCACTGAGGTTGAACTCATGGCGCCTTGGTGTTGCTAGATGGACATTGCCACTTGAGCCATGCCTCTAGGAGTTTCTTAGATTTTGTATACAAGGAAGTTCTAGCAAAACTGGGATCCAGATTATAGTCCAAAAGGTCTTGAATTCAGAGCTTTTTCTAGAATTCCATTGTGGCTTCCTTTAACCTTAGGATGGAACCAGGGAAGCCATATTTTACAAATGTAGGGTTTGGAGGGTGCTAGAATTGTGGGCAAGTTGATAATTAGACTTTTCTTTGTCTCATGGAATTTCTGGTTAATTTTGCCTTTCTGGACAGAGGATTGCTAGGTAGTTTGGTAGGAAAATGAATTACAGGTTGAGGATCCCCTGTCCCAAATTTTTGGGACCAGAATTCATTGGTGGAACATCCTTAAATTGAAAATGTGAAATCTAAAATGCTCTGTGATCTTATGGTCAAAAGTTTCAGAATTTGAAACATATTGGATATTCAGATTTAGAGATGTTCCATTTGTATTTCTGTATTACATGAGCAGAGCTAGGTCATTTCCTTAAACTACCTGTTAAGGAAAAAAGCTATGAGATAGTAGGAGGAAATGAAGGTAGCAGAAATGTGCTCCTGAAAAGTCTGTAACTCCCAGAGCTGCTACCTTTTTTATTTTTTGTTGTCAAGTGATGTAAAGAGGGGTTACAGTTACATAAGTAAGGTAGTAAGTACATTTCTTGTCAAACTTGTTACCCCTTCCCTCATTTTTCTCCCACTTTTCCTCCCCCCACCAGAGCTACTTCTTTTTTTATTAGTATATATTTTTTATTATAAAGATACTGTACAGAGGGGGTTACAGTTACATGAGTAAGGTAATGAATACATTTCCTATTGAGCATTGTTACCCTCTTTCGGAGCTACTTTTTTTTTTTTTTTTGTGGGGGGGGGTCCGTCCTGGGGCCTGAACTCTGGGCCTGGGCGCTGTCCCTCAGCTCTTCAGCTCAAGGCTAGCGCTCTACCACTTGAGCCACAGCACCACTTCCAGCGTTTTTTCTTTTTTGCTTCTGTGGTGCTGAGGAATCAAACCCAGGGCCTCATGAATACAAGGCAAGCGCTCTACCACTGAGCCACCTTCCCAGCGCCTCAGAGCTACTTCTTAAAGTGCAACATGAGATGAATATAGCTGCTGAATTATAGCCACTTCTCTTTAACGACCTTCCTTCTTCCCTCCCTCCCTCCCTTTCTTCCTTTCTCCCTCCCCCCTCTCATAACTTCCTTCCTTCCTTCCTTTTCATTCCTTCTTTTTTTTCTTCCTTCTTCCCTCCCTTCCTCCCTCCCTTCCTCCCTTCCTTCCTTCCTTCCTTCCTTCCTTCCTTTTTTGGTCCTGGGGCTTGAACTCAGCTTGGGTACTTGCTGTCCCTAAGTTTTTTGCTCAAGGCTAGTACTCTACCACTTGAGCCACAGCTCCACTTCTGGATTTTTTTTGGTGGTTAATAAACATCTCACAGGCTTTCTTGCCTTCATACCGTGATCCTTAGATGTTAGCCTCCTAAGTAGCTAGTATTATAGGCATGAGCTACTATTGCCCTGCTAATGACTATTCTTTTAAATTTGAGCTAGTCAGATACAGTTCAGTGGTAGAAGCATTTGTCTGTCATGCATGAGACCCTGAGTTCTATCCATGCCACTACAAAACCAAACAAATGCTACTAAAAACAAAATTTGAATTAGCCTTCAATATTAGTTGGAGTGATTTCCATGAAAATATTAATGCAAATTAAAATAAAATCCTTCCAACCTTTACAGCTCTAAAGGTAAAGATTATTTGCTGTTACCTGGGCTTGAATTCAGGGTCTCCCAATCTAGCTGGGCTTTTTTACTCAAGATTGATGCTGGCGTTCTGCTGATTATTGAGAGATAAGTCTCCTGGATTTGTCTGCCTGGGCTGGCCCTGAACTGCAAATCTCTGACCTCAGTCTCCCCAGGAGCTAGCATTACAGTCATGAGCCACTCACACTCCAGAACATTTCTTGACCCATCTGTCCTACAGCAGTCCACTGTTCTAGACTACTGCTGAGATAGCAGGCAAGCTGATAACTTCTATTTGGCGTGTGCCCCAGCTTCATCATAGAAGATCAGATGTCTCATGTATAGAATTCTAAATGCTTACCAAATGATAAGCTTAATGCGTTCACAGTGTACAGAACTATCTGAGCTGTTAAAAAAATAAGAAATGTCTCAGTATATCATATCAAGGACCAGACACAGAATATTAAGTAATAACAAAACAAGTTGCATATACGTGTTGGTAAATGTGGCAGAAAAACATCTTTGAAAGGGTGAACATTAGGCCAGGCAGTTGGATCATGCCTGCTGTCCTAGCTACTCAGGAGGAGGCCGTGATCTGAGGATCACAGTTCAATGCCAGTAAATTCATGAAACTTTTTTTGTTGGTTTTGTGGGGTTTGAACTCTGGGCCTGAGTACTGTCTCTCAGCTCTTCAGCTCAAGGCTAGCGCTCTACCATTTGAGCCATAGCGCCTCTTCTGGTTTTCTGGTGGTTAATTGGAGATAGAGTTTCACAGACGTTCCTGCCCCGGCTAGCTTTCAACTGTGATCCTCTGATCTCAGCCTCCTGCGTAGCTAGGATTACAGGTGTGAGCCACCGGTGCCAGCTCCACGAAACTCTTATCTCCAGTTAACTACCAGAAAACCAGAAGTGGAGCTCTGGCTCAAAGTGCTGGAGTACTAGCCTTGAATGAAAAAGCTCAGGGACAGCACCCAGGCCCCAAGTTCAAGCCCCATGACCGACCACCCCCCCCCCCAAAAAAAAAGGAAAAGGAAAAAAAGGAGAACATTGAATTATAGTTGCCCTTGTATAGCAACTGTAATTAGGAGGAGTTGAGGCCACATACAACTTTCATTTTATACTTTGACATGACTAGATTTTCTTACAATGAAGACTTTTGAAAAGATTCTTCCTTGAAATTAAATATATATATACACATACAAAAATATGTGCATCATACCCAAGTATGTGACATGTTGGATTTTTCACAACCTGAACACATCCATGTAATCAGTGCTAAATCATGAAACACCCATGCCCTTGACTGGATCCTCTCCAGACCAGGCTAACATAGCATGCCTCTGTGTGTGTGTGTGTGTGTATGTGTGTGTGTGTGTGTATGTGTGTGTGTGTGTGTGCGCGCGTGCGCACGTGCATGTGTGCTTTACATATACAGAATAAGTTGGTTTTTAATTTTTTTTTGTCTTTTTTTGATCCTGGGGATTGAGCCCCAGAATGATGCACTTGCTAGGCAAGTGCTTGCCACTGAGCTGCATCCTAGCCCTGGAGTAGATTTGTTTTTTATGCTAAAAGGAGCAATCAGTCACTCACTGCTCACATGCCTGTATCTGCCTGTACAGATCACCCTTCAGAGGTGCCGGAGAAACTTATCCAGGACAGGTTCCGAAAGCTGGGCCGCTTCCCTGAAGCCTTTAGTTCTATTCACTACAAGGGAACGAGGACTTACAACCCCCCCACAGACTTCTCTGGGCTTCGACGGGCTTTGGAGCAGCTGTTAGAGAATAACACTACCCGATCTCCCCGGCACCCGGGGGTCATCTTCAAAGCCCTGAAGGTGAGTTGGCTCCTGCCCAAGTGCTGCTCATGGGGTGCCTGTGGGTAATGAGGACACTAGTCCTCAGCTTTCTTGTAGACAATGGAAGAGGAAGAGCATATTTCCAGAAGTTTAACTCTGGAGGACTCTTCAGTCATAGTAAAACAGTTGATAAGAGCTTCTGTTTGGAGAAACCACCAGCCTTTTGGGTAATAGGAGAAAGTGTTTGTTCTGGGTGGAGTTGGTACAGTCCTTGACTTTGGGTTGAAGTTCATTTATGCTTTATACTTTTATTTATATGGACGTATTTTTCTTCTTACCTGTCCTAGCCTATTTTCTATTGCTATAGCAAAATTCCTGAAACTGAGTAGTTTAAAAGAATAGAGGTTTAGTTGGTTCACCATTCTGAAGACTGCAAGCTGGATGGCAGCATTGCGCTGGCATCTGCTCAGGATCTGGTGAGAGCCTTCTTGCTGTATTGTTATGTGGTTGAGGGCATCACCAGTGATGGTAGAGCAGGTGTTTTGAGGCTTTATAACAATACTTGTTCATTGATAACTTGTTCATTGATAACATGAGTAGACTAATTCATTCCTGAGGACAGACCCCTCATAACTTACCTCCAAGCATTATAAATTTAGAAATTGAGTTTCCAGAACATGAAATTTGGGGCATATATTCAAATCATAATATTAATCTAAACTTACTCAAGACAACAGCTTTTTTGCCGGTGCTGGTGGCTCACACCTGTGATCCTAGCTACTTAGGAGGCTGAGATCTGAGGATTGTGGTTTGAAACCAGCTTTGGGCAGAAAAGTCCCCATGAGACTCTTATCTCCAACTAACCACTCAAAACCAGAAGTGGGCTGCAGCTCAAAGTGGTAAAGTTCTAGCCTTGCACAAAAGAGCTCAGGGACAGTGCACAGGCCCTGAGTTCAAGCCTCACACTGAACAAAAACAAAACCTTTTTTCATCCTTAAAAAAAATAATTAGGTGCAGGGGCTGGGAAGGTGGCTCAGTGGTTGGTAGAGCGCTTGCCTTGCATGCATGAGGCCCTGGGTTTGATTCCTCAGCACCACATAAGCAAAAAGAAAAAAGCCGGAAGTGGTCCTGTGGCTCAAGTGGTAGAGCGCTAGCCTTGAGCTGAAGAGCTGAGGGACAGTGCCCAGGCCCAGAGTTCAGGCCCCACAACCGGACCCAAAAAAAAAAAAAAATTAGGTGCAGAACGCTAGTGGCTCACACATGTAATCCTAGCTACTCAGAAGGCTGAGATGTGAGGATTATGGTTTAAAGTCTCTGAGATGCTTAGCTCCATTTAACCACCAAAAAGCTAGAAGTGGAGTTGTGGCTCAAGTGGCAGAGCACTAGCCTGCTTACTGAATAATCTCAAGAACTTTCCTGCCTGAGCTGGCTTTGAACCATGATCCTTAGATCTCAGCCTCCTGAGCAGCTAGGATTACAGGCATAAGCCACCAATGCCTAGCATGAGAAGGAAACTTTTTGTTATCAGTATAAATGGGAAATTGGTATCATCAGTAGGAAATTACAAAAACAAAAATAAGAACAGACTCATAATAACAATAATTATTGCTTCTTGCTAAAATGCAGAGTATTATGTATGGATTAATTCATTTAGTCCTTATATCATCCATGAGTAAGCTGCTATTGTCATTTTGAAGATGGAAAAGCAGAGGCACAGAGAAACGAAGTAACTGATTGTATTTAGTAAGTGACAGGAGACATAAATCCTGACAATTTTGTTTCAGAGCTCCTTTTCATAGTCTAGAAGTCTCTACTCCATCCCAGCAGATAAAATAAGAGAGACTGTTCCTGATGGAAGATCATGAGACTCTATTTTTATTTTTCATTTTTTGTCAGTCGTGGTGCTTGAACTCAGGGCATGAGTCCTATTCCTGAGCTTTTGCACTCAAATCTAGTGCTCTACCACTTTTAGCCACAGAGCCATTTCCGGTTTTCTGGTGGTTAATTGGAGTTAACGAGTTTCATGGATTTTACTGCCCAGGATAGCTTCGAGCTGTGATCCTCAGATCTCAGCCTCTTGAGTAGCTAGGATTACAGGCATGAGCTACCAGCACTGGGCATGAGACTTTATTTATTTATTTATTTTTGTTGTTTTTGTTTTTGGGTCCTGTTGTGGGGCCTGAACTCTGGGCCTGGGCGCTGTCCCTCAGCTCTTCATCTCAAGGCTAGCGCTCTACCACTTGAGCCACAGCACCACTTCCAGCTTTTTTCTTTTTGCTTATGTGGTGCTGAGGAATCGAACTCAGGGCCTCAGGCATGCAAGGTAAGCGCTCTACCACTCAGCCACCTTCCCAGCCCATGAGACTTTATTTAAAAGGAAGATTATTAACAAATATTTATGAGATGATATGATATTTATTACCTATGTGAGATTTTCTAACGGATTCTGAAATTGAAAAAATAACTAGAAAGAGGTAATTTCTGCTTTGGAATTTGAGCTTTTTTTTTTTCTTCCTCAAGGCTAGTGCTCTACCACTTGAGCCCTAGCTCTACTTCCATTTTTTTGGTGCTTAACTGGAGATACGAGTCTCAGAGACTTTTCTTGCCTGGGCTGGCTTCAAACCATAATCTTCAAATCTCAGCCTCCTAAGTAGTTAGGATTACTGGTGTGAGCCACCAGCACCTGGCTTTTTTTTTTTTTTTAATTGTAGATAAAGAGTCTCATTCTTTTTTTTTTTTTTTCCCTGCCTGGGATGGCTTTGAATCACAGTCCTTACAGCCCAGCCTCTTGAGTAGTTAGGATTACAGGCATGAGCCACTGGCACCCTGCTCCTTTTCCTTTTTTTTTTGGTTGGTTGTGGGGCTTGAACTCTGGGCCTGGGTGCTGTACCTGAGCAAGGCTAACATTCTATCACTTTGAACCACAGCGCCACTTCTGGTTTTCTTGTGCTTATTTGGAGTCTCATGGACTTTTTCCTGCCCAGGCTGGCTTTGAACCACAATCCTCAGATCTCAACCTCCTGAGTAGATAGGATTTCTGGTGTGAACCATCGGGGCTCACCCTTTTCCCTTACTATAGAAGGAAAGTAGTGTTCCTAACAGGGCTGAGGTATGGATTCTATGAGATCATATCTAAGAAACAAAGGCTTTAGTGTATAGTTAAGTGTTCAAACACTGTGCAAATCATATTATTCATGGTATGCTCCTTGAATGCATTTGAGGCTAATGTGTTTTCAGAGGTGTTGGCTGAGTGTGTCCTTGAAAGTAGAAGATGGCTTTCACTGTCTGTTTTATTTTATTTTTTGCCAGTCCTGGGGCTTGAACTCAGGGCCTGGGCACTGTCCCTGAGCTTGTTTTGCTCAAGGCTAGCACTCTACTATAGAGTCAATTCCCACTTTTTCTGTGTATGTGGTTCTGAGGAATCGAACCCAGGGCTTCATGCATGCTAGGCAAGCACTCTACCACTAAGCCACCTTGCTAGCCCTGGCTTTCACTGTCTAATGTGTGCTTAGAGGTGTTGGCTGAGTGTGTCCTTGTAAGTAGAAGATGGTTTTCACTGTGAACATTCTTTTGTGCGTTTTTTGTTGTTGCTATTGTCGGTCATGGGGCTTGAACTCTGGGCCTGGGTGCTTCACTGTGACCATTTCTGTAGGATGCTGAATCCATGCTAAGACACACAACAGTTATAAATACTGTCACTGTGAATCATTAAGCCAATAGACCAGTTCTTTAAATGAACCCAGCTCAGTGTGGAAAGACATCAGGGACACTGAGTGCTACAATTACTGCTCAGGGCTTTTCCCCTTGGGTGTCTTGCACATCTAATCCCAGCCCAGTTTACAGGCACTTTAAAGGAAAGCAGTTGCACTGTATTCTTACAATATGATACCACTCAGGAAGCTTGCTTTCTGCAATTAAAATGAGCCTGGTTGGCTGGACTGCTGATGATTCTTAGTAACTGGTGTCTGCAGAATTTCCTGTAGACCTGGTGTTTTCTATTTTTGTGAGGTAGGCGAGGGGCTGTGTTGGACTCCTGTTTATGAGAAGGAGTGATCTGTTCAGGCACAGCGTTTGGGCTCTCACCAGAAATTGTATTAGTTTTGCAATTTTTGCCATGGTCTTTGAAATAATTGGGCTAGACACTGGTGGCTCACAGCTATAACTCTAGTTACTCAGGAGACTTGAGATCTGAGGAGCATAGTTCAAGCTTGGGCAAGAAAGTCTGTGAGACTGTTATCTTTAGTACCAAAGAAGCTGGAAGTAGAGCTGTGGCTCAAGTAGTAGAGTGTTAGCCTTGAGACAAAAATTCACCAGTAGCACCCGAACTCTGAGTTTAAGTCCTAGGACTGGCACGCATTAGCACATGCATGCGCGCATACACGCACACAATTGTTTTTTGCCTTTTTGTTTGTGTTGTTTTGTATCTAATCTCCTTTAAATTTGGAGTGGTTAATTCTCTGATTATCACTCTCATAAAAAGCTACCTGCCTTTAGAGTTTTCATTAGGCCAATTGGTCAAGTTTGCTGTCCAAATTAAGTCTGAGGTCCATATTGTTTTTAGTTTATATTATTGTATAAGGTAATGGATGTCTATACTCCACTTACTATTTTATTAATGCATACTATTGTATTTATTGTTTTTATAAATAGTCATGCATCTTTTTTAGTATAAGAGAATGTGGGTGGGAATGGCATATTTGATTTTTGTCAGGATAATTTATTTGGTTTCCTGTGTATCCTCTTGATAGCTTTATTTTTTCCAGTTCCTTGGTAACTCATCATATAAACACCTTGAGAAACCCAGGGTTTGTTCTAATATGATTTATATGATTCTTTGCTATTTATTAAAAAAAAAAACAATATTGGGGTATGTAATTCCAGCTCTTGGGAAATGGAGGCAGGAGGATTGCTAGTTCATTGCCAGCCTGGGGCTACATAGTGATAGTCTGCCTCAAAAAGAAAATATTCACAATATATTCTTTGTGGTTTTTTTTGAGGGAAGGGACTGTTTTTTGCTTTGTTTTTGATAGTGCCAAGAATTAAACTCAGGTCTTGTACATGCTAGGCAAGTGCTCATTACTAAGATATATCTCCAACCTTTGGATTTTTCGAATCAGGATCTCACTAATTTTTCCCTGCCCAAAAGCAATTAGTTAAAATGAATTTGGACTTGAGCTCCTCTTGTCTCTTCCTCCTAAATGCTGAAGGTGTCTGCCACCATACCTGGCCTTTTACTGTATCTTATTCCTGAGGTTCCAACTGATTGATGCAGCAGGTCAAATTGAAGAGAGTCCATATGTCTCTTTTCATGTTTATTATTGAATAAATAGGAAGTGTGGGCCTGGAAATGTGGTTAATGAGAAAGAATGAGAATTCTGAGAGAGAATGAGAGAGAATATCTCTGTGTATGAGAGAGAAAGAGAAAGAAGAAAGAAAGAAAGAGAAAGAAAACAAGAGTTGAGGGTGGTGACTGCAGCCACTTTTTGCTCTGGTGGTTTGCCCATGTATGCCTAAAATGGTTTCCTTGCTGTGTTTGCCCATGTATGTCTAAAATGGTTTCCTTGCTGACAGGATCACAGTTATTTGGCCACACTGTGGTCCCTGAGTCTTGGTACCATTTTTCTTTTCTTTTTTTTTTGTCATGGGGCTTGAACTCTGGGCCTGGGCTCTGTCCCTCAGCTCTTCAGCTCAAGGCTAGCACTCTTCCACTTGAGCCACAGCGGCACTTCCAGTTTTCTGGTGGTTTATTGGAGATAAGAGTCTCATGGACTTTTCTGCCTGGGCTGGTTTTGAACTGTGATCCTCAGATCTCAGCCTCTTGAGTAGCTAGGATTACAGATGTGAGCCACTAACACCCAGCTTGGTACTATTTTTCTAGCTGGGGCATTTTGCACTCTTTTGCTCAGGATCTATAGTAGCATCATCTCACAAAACATACCAGTGGGCTGAGAGGTAAATTTGGTGAAAGGAAGCAGATGCTCAAGGCCCAGTTGAATAGGGGAATTAATATTGACTTATAGGGGAAAGGAATATTGAATTAACTGTGCTTGTCTGTACTTACAGTTCAGAATAATTGGGAAGATTGTGTTAAAGCTGAATTCATGTAGGTTTCTGTAGTATATTCTTTAGCCTCTGATCACCAGATGTAGAAACTCTTGACTTTCCAATTCTATCACATTATAAGGCACCTATTAAGTATTTGGAAGTTAAGTTTGTTTGGGGGTGCCATCATTGATTATAGAAGAGTGTCAATTTTGATTCAGGAATTGTACTGCTAGCCCTTGATGACTGGGGTTAACCTTATAGGTACAATAGAAGGATCCGTACTGTTGCCAAGGCAACTAAGGTTCAAGATCATCCAGTCTCCAGGCAACCAAGTCTTCAGATTTGCTTCAAATACTTTTGCAGTCACTCTCACAAGAGGCCCTTCCTTGCCTTTCCCTCCCAGCTTTGACACCTCAGGAGGAAGAGAGCCCGAGAAACCATGGAATAATGTGAGATTTGAATTTTTTTCACTTGTTTGTCTGCCTAGTATTGAAGCACATGCTACACTACTGTGCTTCATCCCCAGGTTTTGAAATTTATACCTAGAAAAGCATGTGGATTTGGTGAAGGCTATGTCTGCACTAGGCAAGAAAAATCAGATTACAGAGAAAGGAGGGCAGGTCTTTCCTATTTGAATCTGAAATACACTATCATCAGTTTTTTTTTTTAAATAGATACTATTACAGTCTCACACTCTTGATTCTTGTAAAGCTTTCTGAAATTGTAAAGGTTGACTCATTACTGTTAAGTTGGACTTGTAAAAGAAGTGGCATGGTTGCTTCCTTACCCAGCATGTGAGAGTGTGGATGGCCTGAAGGTGGTTTATATCAGAGTTCTTCTCTTTCTGACATCATAAGAAGTTACCAGTGTCTTGGACAGCATAAGATAAGCTACCATTTGCCTACAGCAGAGAATGCTGGCAGTTCCAAGGGCATGAGGGCCATGGAAAGTCAGGCTGCAGACTGACCATGTTAGGCTCTAAGATACTTTGAAATGGTTCTACTTCGTTGAAGAACTTCCAGAGAATTGACCTGGGCCACTTGAGTTGGAACAGAAAGTGCACTACTAGCATTATTGGGCTACAAATTTATGTTCACTGGAGGCAGCTTTTCCTCTAATTGATCTCGTTACTGAACTAATGTTAAAACTTGCTATTTGTCCTTAGGAAAACAAGTAGGAAAAGTAAAATTCAGAGGCTAAAAAAATGCTGATATGGTATCCACCATATCATCGATAACAGCTTCTACACTCCTTAGTTGTTTGCTTATTTTCTCTGTCATTAGATACTTCTTCTTCTTACAAATGATTTTTCTTTTTTGCCAGTCCTGAGGCTTGAACTCAGGGCCTGGGCACTGTCTCTACTTCTTTTGCTCAAGGCTAGCTCAAGCCACAGCACCACTTTTGGCTTTTTCTGTGTATATAGTACTGAGGAATTCAACCCAGGGCTTCACGCATGCTAGGCAAGCGCTCTACCACTAAGCCACATTCCCAGGCCATACAACTGATTGTTTTCTTTCTTTCTTTCTTTCTTTTTTTTTTTTTTGGGTCCAGTCGTGGGGCCTGAACTCTGGGCCTGGGCACTGTCCCTCAGCTCTTCAGCTCAAGGCTAGCGCTCTACCACTTGAGCCACAGCGCCACTTCCGGCTTTTTTCCTTTTGCTTATGTGGTGCTGAGGAATCGAACCCAGGGCCTCATGGATGCAAGGCAAGCGCTCTACCACTGAGCCACCTTCCCAGCCCCACAACTGACTTTTTCTACCTTCATTGCCATTATTTCTGAAGAAGAGTGAGCTGCCCAGGGTAACAATGACAGAAATCACAGCAGCCAACAATTTTCTGTGTGTTCACTTTAGTTTTATTTATTTTTTTTGTCGGTCATGGGGTATGAACTCTGGGCCTGGGCACTGTCCCTCAGCTCTTCAGCTCAAGGCTGGCGCTCTACCACTTGAGCCATAACACTTCCAGCTTTTTCTGTTCATGAGGTGCTGAGGAATCGAACCCAGGGCCTAATGCATGCAAGGCAAGCACTCTATCACTGAGCCATCTTCTCAGCCCCAGTGTGTGCTCACTTTGTGGGAAGTGCTCTGCATGGCTAACCTCCTTTGATCCTTAAGATGTAATGGTCTGAAGAGACCTACTGCAGAGAATACCAATGGTGTGCTGTGTGTCTATTCTATAGATAAGGAATCAGAAGCACCAAGTGCAGAACTGCCAACTATAAGCTGGCTTTCTAGACCTCACTTTTTCCCTCTTTCCTTTTTCTTTCCCTCCTTCCCTCTTTCTCTGAGCTTTTACTCAAGGCTAGCACTCTACCACTTTGAGCCACAGATCTACTTCTGGCTTTTATGTGGTTAATTGGAGATAAGAGTCTCACAGGAATTTTCTGCCTAGGTTAGCTTGGAACCATAATCCTTAGATCTCAGCCTCCTGGGTAGCTAGGATTAAAGGCATAAGCCATTGGGATCCTGTGCCCCTTGGGTTTTCAACTCCGGGTTTGAGACTACTTCCTTCCAAAAAGAAAAAGGAGGCTATGTTGTTAAACTTTGTAGTGCTTGGGCTTGAACTCAGGGGTTGTGTATGCTAGGCTAGTACTATACCAGTGAGCTACATATCCAGCCTAGGGACATAAGAAATTCTTGGACTGGGGATGTGGCTTAGTGGTAGAGTGCTTGCCTTGCATGCATGAAGCCCTGGGTTGGATTCCTCAGTACCACATAAACAGAAAAAGTTGGAAGGGGCTGGGAAGGTGGCTCAGTGGTAGAGTGCTTGCCTTTTTTGCTTGAGGCCCTGGGTTCAATTCTTCAGCACCACATAAGCAGAAAAATTCAGAAGTGGCACTATGGCTCAAGTGGTAGAGCACTAGCCTTGAGCTGCAGAGGTGAAGGACAGTGCCCAGGCCCAGAGTTCAGGCCCCATGACTGGCCAAAACAAAACAAAACAAAAAAGTTGGAAGTGGTGCTGTGTCTCAAGTGCTAGCCTTGAGCAAAAGAAGCTCAAGGGCAATGCTTAGGCCCTAAGTCCCAGGACTGGCAAAAAAAAAAAAGAAAAAAGAAAAAAAATTCTTATTGAAACTTTTTTGAAACTCTTTTCATGGCTTGAGTTTAAAATCTAATCTGTACTTTTACTAGATTCCATTTCGAAATTTCTTCTTGCCTTTCACTAAAGGAGGTACCATCTTGTCCTCCCTACTTTCCCTTCTCTTCCTCTGCCCAGTGCTTGGCTGCTTCAGACTCAGGCACTGATAGGAACTCTGACTAGTGTGCATTGAATAGTTTTTAAAGCCTGGAAAGCCTATATAATTAGCCTGAAAAAATACTTTGAATATAAAGTAGGGAGTAGAAATAGAGGATTAGAAATGGAACCTACCTTCCAACAGGGACTTTTCAATTTGCTTCTCTTTATCTTTCTTTTTGGCATTTACTTTGGCCATCTGTCATCTTTTAGGCTAATATTGTTGATAAATGACTGGAACACTGTGGTAATTCTTCGCTGTTCTATTGGCTGATGCTTAATTTCTACATGAGATAGTTCTTTGGCCTAGTGAAGTACAAGTGGACTGGGACAGAAGCCCAGGAAACTTCCAGCTCACTTCTTGGCTCCTGTCCTCCTAAAGCTCAGTATTTTGATCTAGCTTCATATATAAAATGGGCACTATTTGTGATGATCTTGAATAAAATAGTGTGTGAGATGTTTATAACCTCCAAGGCATTAGGAAAGAGCCGTTATTTTGCTTACTTTTGACCTCTTGGGCAATGGGTTGGTTCTTTCCAAGGTTTTCTGTGGTGAGGGTTGGCACAAGTTGGGTCAAGGTCAAAGGCAATGAGCAGAAGTTACTGGAGTCCCTCTTCCATGGTGGTGCTTGCAAGAAATATGCTATAGCAGCGAGGATCCTGGGAAGGCAGGAGAGAAAGCACCAAGGCACAGACTGTCTGCTGAGGGCCTTCATGTCGCCACCTTCTCTCGTTGGCAGGCGCTGAGTGACCGCTTCAGCGGTGAGATCCCTGATGACCAGATGGCGCACAGCTCCTTTTTTCCAGATGAGTACTTTACCTGCTCCTCCCTGTGCCTCAGCTGTGGGTAAGTGAGGCCAGCTGTGCCCATCGCCCACCTTGGGGCTAGAGACTGAGTGGTACTTGCAGATTGGTGTGCTTTACCAAGAGTCTGGGTAAAAGGTTTTTTATTCCAGTGATGGGGGTGAATCAGGTGCATTGCTGACCAGTTCCTAAGTGATCCTGATGGTCCAGGGACCATACTTTGAGTTAGCAAGGGCTTCAAGGGTACATGGTTTTGAAGGATTCCTTGAAGATTTTAAACTATGGTATGGAGGTGAAATTGAGTGGTTTTTTGTTTGGGCATTTGTTATAGAAGACCTTGGGTTGCCTGCTTTTCTTTCTTTTTAGCCATAGTTTTCGATCATTTATTCAGAGTATTCTTTTTATTCAGCTAATATTCACTGTGGTGTAGGTATTGATTGTAGGTAATTCCTTCCATTATGCAGACAAATGCTTGGAGCACATTTTCCAGGGAACATTCAGAAAGGAGGCCAAGGCCCCACCTCCAAGAGATTCCTATTTACAGGATCTAGGGTGTGGCTTTAGCATTGGTGTATTTCAAAGGCTACTCAGATGATTCAGTTATGTAGCTTAGACTGAGGATTCTGAATTGCATGGCTGGGCGGGACCTGAGATGCTTATTAGTCTTGACCATGCGTGAAGGTGTTGCAGTGTTCCCAATGTTGGACTCCACTTTGTTATAGAGGGCTCAGAGGGGTGATTCTCAGATGTGAGTGTGTATCAGAAACCTGAAGAGTATGTTAAACGATTGTTTACCTTCACCCTATTTTCCTCATTTAGTAGGTCCAAGGAAGTACCTGAGATTTCACAATTTTAACATTCCCAAATGGTGCTCTGGTGTTGCTTGTCAGAACTACACCTTAAGGATTACTGTATTAGTTTAAGCTGTTGATAGCTATTAAATTACAGTTTGACTTGTCTGTTGGGCCCCAGGGATTTAAAGGCAGCATCAAGGTCAGATTGTAGTCTTCCTATTCTGCAGACACTGCCCCAGTCCCCTTGACATTGAATTGTTTTCATCCATTATCAGTACCTACTGCCTTTGTCCTGAGCCCACCTCTGTCATGTATGGCCTTTGGCATTGTTTAAGTCCGTAGGTGGCTTGCTGGTACTAAAACCACCTCTGATTTTGGTTTAAAAAAAGCTTTTGGATTTTACAGTTGTAGACTAGAACTAAGGATGACCTTGGAGACTTCAGCTTGCCAGTGTGATTTACCTTCCTTACTGCTGATCCCATGAACCAAGAATGAGGGGCTTAAGCACTGTTGGATAATTACTTTCCAGTTCTAACTGAGCCTCAGCAGGGTTTCCAAAGTTTTTTCTACTATCACAGTGAATTTTTAAAGTTGTGATCTCTGTTTTGCCTTGTCAGGATGGCCCAGTTCATTGTTCATCTGAGTTTTTCTTATTTAGTGTAGGCCTTCCTTTAATGTTTTGCCAAGTTTTTGGAGTTAGTTTTTGTTTAGCATTTTGGCAGCCTCTTCTGGCTTAATTTTCTCTTTTTTTTTTTGGTGCTAATCCTGGGGCTTGCTTTCACTCAGGGCCTAGGCACTGTCCCTAAGTTTTTTTTTTTTTCTCTACCACTTGAGCAACAGCTCCACTTCCTGCTTTTTGGTGATTAATCAGAGATAAGACTCTCATAGACTTTCCTACTTGGGCTGGCTCTGAACTATGGTCTTCTTGAGTAGCTAGGATTATGGAAGTAAGCCACCAGTTCCTGACTTAATTTTCCATTTTATCCTTTTGGATTTTTAGTTTCATAGGATCTGTTTGCTAGTACTAGGCTTGAACTCAGGGTTTGGGTGCTATCCCTCAGCTTGTTTACTCAAGGCCAGTGCTCTGCCACTTGAACCACGGTTGCACTGCTTTTTAGTGGTTCATTGGAGGTGAAAGAGTATCAAGGACTTTTCTGCCCAGGCTAGCTTTGAACCAAGATCATCAGATCTTAGCTTTGAGTAGGTAAGTATACAGGCATGAGCCACATGAACCCAGAAGTGTTCAGATTTCATTTCTGGGTAAGTTGTTGTCTTTTGACTCCTCCATGTCGATTTTGCTTTTTTCCCTTTTGCTTTTTCCCCTTACAAAGTAATAGTTGTTCTACCTCTGTCATGCTGTTGATTACAGCAATCAGAGAGGAACATATGGGTGAAACACTCTTTGTGCTAAGCACCAAAGCCCGGTTAGCACCCAGCTTTGTTTTCAGGCCTGTGCCTGGCTCAGGATCAAACTCTACTGGGTAAGTGACATTGGCTCCCTAGGCATCTCATTGTCAGTTTTGGGCTTCCCTCAGGGCTGGCTGTAAGAACAGCATGAATCATGGAAAGGAAGGAGTGCCTCATGAAGCCAAGAGCCGCTGCAGATACTCCCACCAGTATGACAACCGGGTTTATACCTGTAAGGTGAGTCTTTTACACCTCTCTTTCCTTTAGTGGCCATCTTGTTAGGTGTGCTCCTATTGGAAGGCTTTTCTTGGGCTGCCCTTTGTAATACGCTAAAGTATTAGCATTCAAATTGAATACTTGGAACTTCTCAGCTCTCACCAAAGGAACTCACATGTCCTCATTGTCATGGCCCCTTTGGTTTATTAAAACAGCTTCTGCTGAGTTCATTTATAAGGATCATATACACAGACCATTCATTTTCCTCCTAGAAGTGCTTTTCAGGAAATTGGTTTTGATGGCTTTCTCCTGTGTATGACAGTAGAATAATTTTGAACCTTGTTTTAAGGCTGCCATATAGTTCACTATTATCCAGGGCTTCACTGGCTTCTTTAAAGAAATGAACTTCCTCCTGAGGTGCTGAAGTCAGGGCGCAGACCCCCCCCCCCCCCCAGCTGGTGTAGTTTCTGGGGTTGGAGGATGGGAAGAGGCCCTGGGGTCTAGAATAAGCTGGCAGAGTGCTTCATGTTTCAGGCCTGCTATGAGAGGGGCAAGGAAGTCAGCGTGGTGCCCAAAACATCTGCTTCCACTGACTCTCCCTGGATGGGTCTTGCAAAATATGCCTGGTCTGGGTAAGTTTACCAACAGAGCTAAATGGTATGTAAAGTTTTGTTTCCCCAGCGTATGTCTGGGAAACACTATTTGTCTCTCTTGTAGGTATGTAATTGAATGTCCTAACTGTGGTGTGGTCTATCGGAGTCGACAGTACTGGTTTGGCAACCAAGATCCTGTGGATACGGTGGTGCGGACAGAGATTGTGCATGTGTGGCCTGGAGTAAGACCTGTTCCATTGATTTTCCTCCTCCTTTCTCTTAGACCATTCGGTTATTGGTGTGTTGGGAGAGGTGGAGCTTGTTTTGAAGGAAAATTAGCCATGAATTTCAGTGTATCAGTGATTTAGAAGTGCTCTGGGATGGATGTCAATTGGCTGATGCCTATAATCCTAGCTACTCAAGAAGCTGAGATCTAAGAGTCATGGTTCTAAGCCAAAGTAGGCAGAAAAGTCTTATGAGACCTATATCTCCAATTAATCACACAAAAAAGCCAGAAGTGGAGGTAGGAGGATCCCTTGAGCTCAGAAGTTTGAGACCAAACTGGGAATATGGCATGGCCCTGAAAAAAAAAAAAAAAAAGGCCGGGCACTGGTGGCTCACCCCTGTAATCGTAGCTATTCAGGAGGCTGAGATCTAAGGATCACAGTTCAAAGCTAGCCGGAGTAAGAAAGTCAATGAGAGTCTTTTTTGTTATTGTTGTTGTTCGGTTGTGGGGCCTGAACTCTGGGCCTGAGTTCTGTCCCTGAGCTCTTCAGCTCAAGGCCAGCACTCTACCACTTGAGCCACTGTGCCACTTCTGGCTTTTTCTGCTTATGTGTTACTGAGGAATGGAACCCAGGGCCTTGTGCATGCAAGGCAAGCACGCTACCTCTGAGCCACCTTCCCAGCATCCACGAAACTTTTTTTGTCAGTCATGGGGCTTGAACTCTGGGCCTGAACGCTGTCCCTCAGCTCTTCAGCTCAAGGCTAGCGCTCTACCACGAGCCACTGTGCCACTTCTGGCTTTCTGAGTGATTTGTTGGAGATAAGAATCTCATGGACTTTCCTGCCCGGGCTGGCTTTGAACCGCGATCCTCAGATCTCAGCCTCCTGAGTAGCTAGGATAACAGGTGTGAGCCACTGGTGCCCGGCCCCCATGAGACTCTTATCTTCAGTTAACCACTGGAAAAACCAGAATGGTGCTGTGGCTCAAGTGGCAGAGCACTCGCCTTGAGCTGAAGAGCCGAAGGACAGCGCCCAGGCCCAGAGTTCAAGTTCCACAACTGGCCAAAAAAAAAAAAAAAAAAAAGTCACTGTTCACATTTGGTGAGAGTTTGTTCTAATTCAGCAAAACACTAGTGCAGCAATTTGTTCCTTGGTTGTATTCCTCATAGTTCTTTTGATTAGGAGAGTACTTTGCTTTTGGTCTGTCCATCTATCATTTCAACATGTGTTGCTAAAGGACTGTGTGCTCTGAATTGTGCTAGATTCTTTGGAAAAGAGAAATCATTATTCCCAGAAAGTTTTGTCTAGCAGGAAGTCAAACCCATAACAGCTATTATACTCACAGAAATCAAATTCCTAGAGATGGCTGGTAGCAGAAGAACTGTGGAATAGGGAGAGGAGGTATGACCTTCTATATTGTAGGGACAAGTTAGTCCTGAATTGAACAGCTGCCCACCAATCAAGTTTTTGGATTACTTTGATTAGAATATGTCAATGCTGACTGATTGCAGACTGCACTGTCCTAAGGCCAGAAAGCTTTCTGGTCTGTCTCCATTTTCCCCTGCCAGGGAGTTTAGAGTTTTGTGTTGGCCACTAGATACCCTTTTCCTTCTCATCCTTTTCTTCCTTTGATTCAGAGTATGATGGGAGCCTGCATTTTCTTTTCAGACTGATGCATTTCTGAAGGACAACAACAATGCTGCCCAGCGCTTGTTGGATGGGATGAACTTCATGGCTCAGTCTGTGTCTGAGCTCAGCCTTGGGCCCACCAAGGCTGTGACTTCCTGGCTGACAGATCAGATTGCTCCAGCCTACTGGAGACCCAATTCCCAGATCCTGGTATGGTATGCCCAGATACCCCTGCATTTCCTGGTACAGCCTATCCTGCTGATGCCATTTTGCCGCATGCTAAGTTAGTTCAGCAAGGAAGGGCAACAAATTTTTCCCCAGTGCAATTATCTCTAAGAGTATAGAAAAGAGAAACTTTGAAGCAGCTAGGTACCTCTTTGCTCATGGCTTTCCTTTTGTGTTATTCTGCAAGTATTTTATCGTGTGTGTGTGTGTGTGTGTGTGTGTGTGTGTGTGTGTGTGTGTGTGTGTGTGTGTGTGTGTGTGTGTGGCAGAGGAGGGAGGAAACTGGGATTTTTAGGTCAGAGCAGACAAGCTTATCACTTGAACCAGTCCACCACCCCTTTTTGGGTTGGCTATTTTATTACTTTTAAAAAATATGTAATTTCATTGTTATTAAGGTGTTGTACAGAGATGTTACTATTTCATGTCTTTTTTTCTGACATTTACCACTTCCTTTGCTTTCCCCTAGTTTCCCACTCCCATCCCTGCCCACAACTTGCATAGTTCATTTTCCATAGAGTGTATACTGAATTGGGTTGGTTATTTTCAAGATAGTCTCATTTTATGGCTGAGCTGTCCTAGATTGTGATCTTCTTCTTTTTGCTTTTCTGCATCACTGGGGATGACATGGACATGTATGTGCTACAGCACCCAGACATTGTGCTTCCCCATACACCATTGTACCCAGCATGGGTCAAGATGGAGTCTTAGGAATGTTTATGTTTTGTTTTGTTTTGTTTTTGGGTCCAGTCGTGGGGCCTGAACTCTGGGCCTGGGTGCTGTCCCTCAGCTCTTCAGCTCAAGGCTAGCACTCTACCACTTGAGCCACAGCGCCACTTCCGGCTTTTTTCTTTTTGCTTATGTGGTGCTGAGGAATCGAACCCAGGGCCTCATGCATGTAAGGCAAGCGCTCTACCACTGAGCCACCTTCCAGCCCCATGTTTGTTTTTATTGGGCTAGCCTTGAAACACGATCCCTCAGTATCTTTCCAAGTAGCTAGGATTTCAGGTTTGAGTCACCACGCTCAGCTTTCCAAGCATTTTCCTTGTGGTGGGTTCTAGCTTCCTTACATGTGAGGGCCAGTTAGTATTACTCAGATGTTCAGGGCCATTGGTCTGGAGAAGAGTCATTTAGGGTCATCTTTAGCTTGATAAATCTTTAGGATGCCACAAATATGCACCTGACTTCAGCCTTATCACCCTGTGTCAGGAAACTTAACCCTGCACCCCTTTCCACATTCACATCATTCTTGTTACCAGAAAATTTGATTAAAACCTACTTCCAGGAGTTTCTGGTTGCTTTTGGGTCTTGTTGCCTTTTCTTAGTTGAACAGACATGTAGGAGTCCTACCTCTCTGTCTTGTTTTGGGCTTGAAACAGAGCTGCAACAAATGTGGGACGTCCTTTAAAGACAACGACACCAAGCATCACTGCCGGGCCTGTGGGGAGGGCTTCTGCGACAGCTGCTCGTCCAAGACTCGGCCAGTGCCTGAGCGGGGCTGGGGGCCTGCGCCTGTACGGGTGTGTGACAACTGCTACGATGCCAGGAATGTCCAGTTAGGTAACGTGGGGCAGGAGCTGCAAGGGTGGAGGGGGAACCGCCCTCCTTTGTATTCACTGTGAGTGGGCAACTGGACCGCCACCGCCCTCATCCTGCTCCTGACCACATCACACTCCTGAGGGCAGTTACTCCTCTGGTAGGACTGGTCATCCTCTCAGCTCTTTTGTCAGTGAGTCTGCAGGTACTGTTTCTCTGAAGGTTGAGCCTGGCTGAACTGTGGAGGTGCTTCTGAGGGAAGGAATATATACACATAGTCATTGGACTCTGGGAAGCCTGCAGTTCATCAGCAGCCTGAGTCCTTGTCCTGGGAAGGGTCTAGGTCATTCTCTTTGAACCTCTTCTTCTTCTTCTTCTTCTTTTTTTTTTTTTTTTGGTCGGTCGTGGTGCTTGAACTCTGGGCCTGGGTACTGTCTCTGAGCTCTTCAGCTCAAGGGTAGCTCTCTACCACTTGAACCACAGCACCACTTCCACTTTTTCTGTTTATATAGTGCTGAGGAATTGAACCCAGGGCCTCATGCATGCAAGGCAAGCACTCTGCCACGGAGTCACCTTCCCTCCTCCTCCTCTTCCTCCTCTTCCTCTTCCTCATGCATGCAAGGCAAGCACTCTGCCACTGAGCCACCTCTTCCCCCTTACCCCCCTCCTTTCTCTTCCTTGTTTTTGATGCTGGACCTGGGTGCTGTCCCTGAGCTTTTTTGGTCAAAGCTAGTCCTCTGCCATTTGAGCCACAACTCCACTTCCAGCTTTTTTGGTGTTTAATTGGAGAAGTCTTACAGACTTCCCTGCCAGCCAGCTTTGAGCCGCTGTCCTCAGATTCCAGCCTTCTACATATGTAGGATTACAGGTGTGAGCCACTGGTGCCTGCTTCCGAACCTTTCTTGGTGACCTTAAAAGAGTCTTACAAAATAGTTCCAGAATATTGGAGCTAAAGGACAGCAAATGTCATTCAATTTCCGGACCTGGCTGAAATTACAGGACAGCATAGCAGTCCAGGGAGTAGACTTCGAAGTGTCATGCTGTGGCCCTAATTTTTCCATTTGGGAAATGACTAAGAGGCAACAGGTTTTCCTTTTTTCTTTATTTCTGCAGATGTTACCGAGGCACAGGCAGATGATGAAGGTGGAACACTGATCGCTCGGAAGGTGGGCGAGGCAGTGCAGAACACTCTAGGAGCCGTGGTGACAGCCATTGACATACCACTAGGTGGGCCTGGCATTGCTTCTCTTGGGGATAGCATATGTGGGATGAAGGGTTTCCAGGTGCCCTGGACTGTTTTCACAAATGCTCGCCCACCTAGATTGAGGTGGGCAGTAAGGAGTCAATTAAAATTTTACATTTGCTTGTTTCTGCTGAATCCCTTAGTAGTTTCCTGTTTATTCCTGAAGGCTATTCTCTTCTTTTTTTTTTTTTTTTTTTTTGGGGTCCGGTCGTGGGGCCTGAACTCTGGGCCTGGGCACTGTCCCTCGGCTCTTCAGCTCAAGGCTAGCGCTCTACCACTTGAGCCACAGCGCCACTTCCAGTTTTTTCCTTTTTGCTTATGTGGTGCTGAGAAATCGAACCCAGGGCCTCATGCATGCAAGGCAAGTGCTCTACCACTGAGCCAACTTCCCAGCCCCCATCCTCTTCAGTCATCTATTTATGCATAACAATTTTGAAATGTAAAGGCCTCTCTACCACCATTTTATTTCTTCTTACAAGTGTGTGAGTCTAGAAGTCAGGAAGGGTAATTATTCAGCTCCCAGTAGCGTTGCCTAAAGTTACTATCTGATTTCCTAGGATGGCATATGTCAGGTGCCCCCTGACATATGGAAGTGGGCAGTAGAGCCCTGCCTTCCTCTCCAGGTATTCTTAGGCCTTTCCACATGGTATCTTCAGTTGTAGCTGGCCGTAAATGGTGGTCGAAGGCTTTAGGAGCTTATGTTTCCAGGAAGAAACAGAAAGTAGACAGTGTCAGCCTCTTTGCAGTCCAGGCTTGCAAACTGGTAATTTTGTTGTAGTCACAGAGCCTACCTAGATTAGGGCAGGAGTGAGTAGGGGTGTCACAGATGGGAGGCATGTCAAAGAACTTGTACCTGCCTTTAGCGCATTACAACTTGCTGTGAGTTTAACATGTAAGGTTGTGCCCCAGCTGCAGATGTGAGTGTAAAACTACTGGCAAAAGGAAAACCATTGGTTAAGAAACCACCCAATGAGGACCAATGAGACTTTAGCAGGGTTGGGTAGGTCTGGTAGTAGTTTGGCATACTGTAGGGGAGAAATCAAGTCTCCAGGTAGGTGATTTAAGAAAGGTTTGGACCAGATAGCTCACAGAATGCAATGAGCTCCAGGGTATAGGAACAAATAGATTTGCCCTGCCATGAAGTTCAGGGGTACCTGGCAGGGCAAGGGGGGCTTTTGGCACCTGGCAGGCTGCCTCTACATGTGCCAGGATCTGCCAGGCCTCAGGGTGTTAGCCATGTTATTTCTTGTCATTCTCATCTGTCTTGGAGGGGGGTTAAAATTGAGTAAGCCCCTGGGCAGTGAGTGCAGTAACAGCTTCTAATCCTGCAGCTTGCTGCTAGTTCACTGGTGCTCAGTGGAGTATGGGTGCAAGCTTGTCTCATTCTAGGCCAGACTTGTTTGTAGTTGTTCCAGCAGGTCTCCGTGGAGAACTTAGTAGGTATGCAACTGTCAGTGCCTCTGCCCAGCCCCAGAGAGTGTCATCTGCATGGTCTGGGATTTCTAAAAGCACTGCTGGCCATTCTGGGTGCACAAGCCAGTGTCCGAGGAGGCCCTCTTGCCAGTCTGGGTTTGAGTGTCCTGACCATCGTGGTTCTCCCCACCTCAGGCCTGGTGAAGGATGCAGCCAGGCCGGCCTACTGGGTGCCTGACCACGAGATCCTGCACTGCCACAACTGCCGCAAGGAGTTCAGCGTCAAACTGTCCAAGCACCACTGCCGTGCCTGCGGACAGGGCTTCTGTGACGAGTGCTCTCATGACCGCCGGGCTGTCCCTTCTCGTGGCTGGGATCATCCTGTCCGAGTCTGCTTCAACTGCAATAAAAAGCCCGGTGACCTTTAACCCCAGCTCCCTCTCCGAGTCCTTCACAGTTCCCTAGGTTCTCAGGGTTAGAAACAGAAGTCATTTGAAGTAGGCCCTCCTCCCGGTCACCTGCTGTGTATGTCCTCTCCTCTCCTCATCCTGGGGCCACTTTTCCTCCACGGGGTGAGCCTGGCGGCAGGCCCGAAGGCATAAACCCCTCAGGGCAGGGGACCGAGCAGCTCACAGCAAAGGGGCATGAACCTGAATCCGTTGCATTAATTTCAGTTAATAATAAGTCTTATCTATCTATGTATTGCTCAATATATACAAATGAAAGGGAACTCTGGGAGTGTGTTAAGGCTGCTGCTGGCTGTGCAAACGCCGCCCCCCCCCCCCCCCAGTCTCCAGTACAGGGCTAAGGTGGCCGAGGCAGCAGCAGGTCTTTGCACAAAGACGAGCCAGATCCAGAGCCTGTGGCTGCTTCTCTCTCAGCCCTGGCAGCCTCTTCCTCCTGGTCTTTTCCTTTCCCTTGCTGCCTGGATAGTGAACTTCCCAGGTCCTCCTGCTGGAAGCAGCCTGAAGAGAGCTCCATTGGGCCCAGGAAGTTGAAGCCCATTGGTTTCAGCCTGTTTTAGCCAGAGACCACCCTGCTTAGTGTGCATCCACTAGTGTGGGTGGAGGGTTGGAAGTGAGGTCTTTGGTCCTGAGAAGGCCAAATGCAGATGCTGTGGCATCCCTCAGCAGGAAAGGATCAGGGTGATCTGAGTCTTCTCTAGCAGTGTCCCTGGTCATTGACACTGTGTCCACCTAGCTTCCCTAGAAGGCCAGGCCCTGCTCCTACATCAGCACCTGCCACCCTTGGAGCCCATGACCTAGTGAGTGTCACACTAGAATTTATTGCTTAAAGTGTCTTATTCTTTGTTCCCAGACACACAACCTCTCTAGCTGTTGGGGTGATCATGAGAAAACCTTCAAGGGAAACAGCACAGAATGGACTGTTTGTTTTTTTTAAAGCCTATATAAATATTTCATCAGATCATAAAGAAAGAAATTCTCTTTGGCTTTTGCAAGGGAAGTCAAATGAAAGAATGTTCTCTCATCAAGAGCTTGGACATGCATAGCTATCATGACTGGAAAGAGACTGTTGTTCAGAAATCCTCTCTTCAGGGTGGAGTTTTATCTTCAATGGCCAAAAAGGAATTACAGCAACATAGTTCTTGATTGAACTGGTGGGTGGGTGGAGCCTTGGGGAGGTGCATGGGCAGTCCTTCCTGGGGTGAGTATCCGTGTGATGTGAGCCCTGGTGTGGGTTGGTCCTTCTTAGACCTGCTCCTTCCTGCCTCCAGTGACTGAGGCCCTATTCTAGAACTGTGTATCAAATTCACCATCATAAAGGAATCTTCCTGCTGAACCTGGACTGTGTGACTCTTTCCTTGTAACTCCATCAATACACTGTACTTACATCTGTCTGCTGTTGGTGGAAACATACATAGCTCATGACATGGCAGTGCAGATGCCAAATGGGAGGCTTATGTCCAGAGGCCACTGGAAACACTGCTCTTTATTACTGACAAATAACATTACTCTGACAAATAACTTTTCTCTAGAAAAGTCAGGTTTTAAGACCACAGAACCATTTTATATCTTATAATTGAAAGGATTTTTTTTTTTTTGTGCCAGTCTTGGGGCTTGAACTCTAAGCCTCTTCTGCTCAAGACTAGTTAGTGCTTTACTATTTGAGCTACAGCTCCACTTGTGGCATTTTTAGTTTAGTGGAGATGAGTCTCACAGACTTTACTGCCTGGGCTGGCTTCAAACTCTGATCCTCAGATCTCAGCCTTTTGTGTAGTTAGGATTATAAGTATTAGCCACCAGTGCCTGGAATCATATATATGTATATGTATACATATTTTTTTATTTTTTATTTTTTGGTCGGTCATGGGGCTTGAACTCAGGGCCTGGGTGCTGTCCCTCAGCAATTCAGCTCAAGGCGAGCGCTCTACCACTTGAGCTACAGCACCACTTTCAGTTTTCTGAGTGGCTTACTGGAGATAAGAGTCTCGTGGCCTTTCCTGCCCAGGGTGGCTTAGAACTGTGATCCTCAGACCTCAGCCTCCTGAGTAGCTAGGATTACAGGTGTGAGCCACTGGTGCCCAACATCATATAGGTATTTTTGAGATGGGGTCTCACTGTATTGTCCAGGCTGGTCTCAAAAACTTGAGCCTCAGTTAATCTTCCCATCTCTGCCTCCTGATTAAAAGTGTATGTCACTGCCTAGCTTTAGAGTGATTTTTTTTTTTCTTTTCTTTTGGTGTGTGTGTGTGTGGGCCTGATACTAGGGCTTGCATTTAGGGCCACGTGCTCTTATTTGGCTTTGGCTTTTTCAGCCAAGTCTGGTGCTTTACCACTTGAGCTACATTTGGCTTTTTGCTGGTTAACTGGGAATGAGTCTCATGGATTTGTCTGCCTAGATTGGCTTGGCACTGGGATCCTCAGATCTCAGCCTCCTAAGTAGCTAAGATTATAAGTGTGAACCACTGGCACCTGGCTTGGAGTGAGTTTTATTAATCTTAACAGTATACTTTTTTTCCCCTCCAGCTTTAGGTACATTGACAGTATACCCCAGACTAGTTTGCCAAGTGGGTTCAGAACTTTGTGATTGCCTTGAACATTCATATATGTAGGGGTAACTAGAGGGTCCACAAGTCATCCTGTACTGTTCCTCAGACCTGCCACAGAACTAGGGATTGCTGGAACAAGGACAGGACAGGCTAATTTGGGTCTGAGTGGATTGCTGAGTTAGGGCCTACACAGCTGAGCAACAGCTATGTAGTTATGTAGTGGCTTTGGTTCTCTGGCAAATTTCTCTAGTAGAAAACTGGATATTATTCCTGAGTTGGAATATCTGGGTCTAAAAAAACATAGTGATCTCCTGGTGCTGGTGGCTCATGCCTTTAATCCTATCTACTCTGGAGACTGAGATCTGAGAATCATGGTTCAAAACCAGCTTGGGCAGGAAAGTCTGTGAGACTCTTATCTCCAGTTAACCACCAGAAAACAGAAGTGGTGCTGTGGTTCAAGTGATAGAGCATTCACCTTGAGCTGAGGAGCTCAGGGACAGCGCCCAGGCCCAGAGTTCAAGCCCCGCAACGAAACAACAAAAACAATGTTGTGATCTATGGAGGCATGGAAAATGTTTGTGGGTGTGCATGTGTACATGTTCCCAGGGATAGAAACTAGAGCCTCATACACGATAGGCAATTGTTTTTCCACTGAGCTATACTTCTAGCACCAGCTTACTGCCTTTTGTGTTTGTCAGTACTGAGATGTGAACTTAGGGCCTTGCATTTTTTTTTTTTTTTTTTTGGTCAGTCGTGGGGCTTGAACTCTGGGCTTGGGTGCTGTCCCTGCACTCTTCTCAAGGCGAGTGCTCTACCGTTTGAGCCACAGCGCCACTTCCTGTTTTGTAGTGGTTTATTGGAGATAAGAGTCTCACGGACTTTTCTGCCTGGCCTGGCTTGGAACCATGATCCCCAGATCTCAGCCTCCTGAGTAGCTAGGATTACAAGCGTGAGCCACTGGTGCCCGGCCTGTGCCTTGCATTCTTGCTTGGCTTTTTTATTCAAGGCTGGCACATTACCATTTGACAATGGCACCATTTCAGAATTTTTCTGAGTTTATTGGAGATGAAGCTAATGGATTTTCCTGCCTGAGCTGGCTTTGAACTATGATCCTCTGATCTCAGCCTCTTGATTAGTTAGGATTACAGGCATGCAACATTGTTACCTGTGCTTGTTTTGGTTTTGCTTTTAAAGGAACCACACAGAAGACTCTTCAGAACTCTTCTCAGAGTACTTAGCAGAGGAGTTACCAGTGTCAAATAGGAGGTTCTGTTTTTGTTTGATAAGTTACCTAAGTGCAGGCTGAAAACAAAGGCCTAAGAGATATTCTCAGCTGTCTACATTGCAATAGTGATTAATTTTCTGTAGCTAAACACCAGAAAACCAACCAGCACCCAGACTAAGAATCATGGCTGTACTCCAGGGACTCCCTGTTCCTCTGCAAGATTAACTACTGTCCTGACATCCAATAGCACTGAACACTTCCCCCACCTTGGTGGGGGTGCTATGTAAACGGTGCTTTGTCTGTCTGGGTCTTGAACTCAGGGCCTGGGTGCTGTGCTTGAGCTTTTATGTTCAAAGCTAGCCCTTTACCACTGAAGTCACAATTCCACTATGGTCTTGGTATTTAATTGAAGTCTCATGGACTTTCTTCCATGACCTGTCGTTGAACCAGCCCTCAGATCTCAACCTCCTGAAGCTAGGATTACAGGCATGACCCCCTGGTGCCCAACTGGTTTTATTACTCTTTATGATAGGGACTTGCTATGTAGCCCAGGCTGGCATCCAACTTGAGATCCTGCTTCAGTCTCCCAAGTGCTGGGATTAGTGTAACACCACACCTGGTCATAAAGGCGTTATTATAACTTTATGTGTAAAGGACTCACTGGAAGATAGCTGAGCTGAGTAGTCTACTAAGCAATGGGCCTGGCATGTCCCTTGGGGTTAGCAGAGATGGCTGGCTGGCTTGGGAACTGGAAGTGAACTCATGTTCAGGTGGCTATTAAAATGCCAGGCACTGTGCAAGTGCTTATGTGGCTGTGCTCTTCCACCAGCCTGGACGGCTGGCAGCCATACTTCAGCTGACTCTGGCTAGGGTTCAGAAGTGCAAGGATCTGGGTATGGGCCTGGGCAGCCTTCAAAGCACTGTGGTGTGGAGCTCCTCCCCTGATGTTTGCTTTGTCTCTCATGGCTGAGTTCTTTTGCTCTCCTATATAAGGTCAGTACCTTTTACTTCCAGGAAAGTAAAAAAGCCAAATTTCTGCTGTTATCAGAGCTTAGCTTTCTAATTCTTATCATTTTCCCTAGGTTCACTTCTCTAAGCCAACTGCTGGCTTAGTTTAAGCAAATCGGTCTAGCTTACAACCCAAGTGCTTAAAAAAATTTGATGTAGCCGGGTACTGGTGTCTCACGTCTGTATAATCCTATCTACTTAGGAGGCAGAGAACTGAGGATCGCAGTTCAAAGCCAGTGTGGGCAGCAAAGTCCCTGAGACTTACCTCCAATCAATCACCCTCAAAAAGCTGGAAGTGGAGTTGTGGCTCAAGTAGTAGAGCACTAAAGTTCTGGGATAGCACCCAGACCCTGAGTTCAAGCCCTAGGCCTGGCATACATGCACACAATGCACAGGCCATAGACTTGAGCATTATATGGGATCAGATGCATTTTGCTCATTTTAGAAAACTGTACCAGTGGAGTCTATCAATATACGTAAAAATGACTTGAGTCACTTTATTCACTGCCCCCATATTCTGATGGCATCCTCTTTATCAGGAGTGAAAGGTTTTTTTCTCCCAGACTATTTGGATATTTATAAGATCATCCATTGGCCATACAAAATTGTCCATAAAGGTAGCTCACCAGAGGCCCTGTACCAAATGGCTTCGCTAGCATTATATGGCCCGAGGACCTGATGTTCCCATCCTGAATACTTCAATGTCCTCCTGAAGTTGGAGAGTTCTATTGGTGGCCCATTTTGTGGCTACTAACAGCAAGGTGCTAGGGTAGCTGAACCCAGAGAGCTAGGTTCCAATAGAAGCTGTGGTCTTTGGTACACACCATAGTCCCAACAGGCAGCTAGGGAATCCACAATCCCAGTCCTCTGTCTTGCTCTAGGCTCCCTGCCAGTACTTTCACTGGCTGCACTCATCCTGGCCACCTGGGGTCAGAGAACTCTCAGAAGTCCAGGGGTCAGTGTGCAGAGTAGGGCGGGAGGAGGCGACGGTGTTCTGAAGCTGTCCAGCATGACCCTTAAAGTCAGTTTCAGCTGCTTTTCCTTCACCCAAGATCTGAGTAGAGGCTGTAGGCCTTTTACTACAACAACCCACACATAATGAGCTTTTAAACCATCAGCAACACCACACCATCATTGTTCCCACTTTATTGTAGAAAGACAGGCCTTTTAACACTTTGTATAAAAATGGCACGAACTGTGGCTGAGATTATGAAAGGACTGTTTAAGATAAACTTTTAAGATCTATCTTGGAAGGGCTAACACTGACCAAAGAGTATTTTACATATAACCTGACTTACGGAATTGTAACAATAATAATTAAAGATCCATCTTGCTGGATATTGGTGGCTCACTTCTGTGATCCTAGCTACTCAGGAGGCTGAGATCTGAGGATCGAGGTTTGAAGCCAGCTGGGGCAGAAAAGTCCATGAAGATCTTATCTCCAGTTAACCACCAAAAATTCTGAAGCAGAGCTGTAGGTCAAGTAGTAGAGCACTAGCCTTGAGTGAAAAGCTAAAGAACAGTACCCTGTCTCTCGAGTTCAAGCCCCAATATTGGCAAAACAAAACAAAATACCCCCTCTTTTTCCCCTTTTATTGCCTATGGTGTGATAAGGAAAGAATACTAGAGGTGAACAGTGAGTTTAAGAAGGTCAAGCTTAATGATTAAACTGCAGCTGTAAATCTTTTCTGTGCAGAGATGCAGGGATGTGATCTGATTTGTCTCTCCACCCTAGCTGGACAGAGTTGGTTTTTCCTGGGACACAGGCACAGAACAATGGAAAACAATCTTCTGGTTTTGTTGCTATGTTTCACCAGTGAAGCAGCAGCTTTAATGTAGTTGTTTTAGTCTTTTCCAGTCTCCATTCCTTGGAGACATTTTTTGTTAATGCAGGAGGGGGAGCTATCCTGTGGAATTCAACTAGGAAAGGAATTAAGTACCTTTTATGAAAAGGATTTTCAAGCTCTCGGAGCCTACAATTTAACACCAACAACTTTACTTAAGTTTCTCCATGTGTAACACTTTAGTACCTGATCCCTGGCGGCCAGAGGCACGCATCTGTGAATACCCCACATCCTTCAGAAAATAAGCTACTCTTTCCGCTTATGTCATGTCCATTCTCCTCCACATGGACCCTACAGAATTAGCTGTAGGAGAAACAGTAAAGGTCCTGCTGGACAGCCATGAGCAGTCCTGGAGCTCCCCGAGAGCCTCCGAGCCTAGAAGAGAAGGCCACACTTGGAATGTCGGCCTTGGAGGTAGGGTATGGGGAAGGTATGGTTCTGAGCAGCTGGGCATCATGGAGACTCCAGATTCGTGTGTAGCAGTCCTGGCCCACTAAGGAAGAAGGAAGACGTGGCAGGTTACTCAAGAATGCAAAGGAATACTTAGGTACCTGTGAACATGATGCCTCAGGATTCCTAAGGCTGAAATGTGCTTCCAGGTGGGCCCAACAAACTTGAGCATAAAACTGTTAATGTGGACTTTCTAGAATCAAAATCATGAATTGCTTTCCTGTTCTAGCTCTACCACTAGCTGCAAGTATTCAGTGACAAGACACTGCTTGGCTGACCCTGTGAGTGAGTGCAGGCTCATGGGCAGGGATTCTGTTTCTCTTGGTGTCAAGGGCTGTTCAAGGAGGAGTCTAGCCTACCAAGTCTCTGACAGGCAACTCACTTCTTTTTAATGAAATATTAATTAAGCTGATCTCTCAACTTCATTACAGCCTGAGGACAAAGCAGATGACAACTCTGTCCTGAGCTTTTTCTGGCTTACGATCTCAAAGTTGGATGGGATGGAGGCGAGAACGATGGAAGGGGTAACACTGGTCAAGTCACTCCTAAGCTGGCATGTTGAACTGAAACCCCTTTTGTGCAATTTTTTTAAGGTGTTTAAAAAGTTCAGAGTTCCTTCTAGCAGTTAAAGTCTTCAGGGCCTAGGTTCTGAGCAGTATTATCAGGACATCATAGGTTGTGGTAGCCCAGACATGATGCATGCTCCATTCCATCACTGGGTGACTCTACTCACCAGAGCTACACCATGGCCGGAGGCAACCTTGGGCTGCACAACGGCAGCTAGTGGACTGCCTACCTGTGCCCTTCAGTAAAGCTTAGCTCATCTGGTACTTAGTACACAGTCTTTTGAGATGAAAACTGGTGGGAAAGAGATTTAAAAAGAAGCTAAGTGCTAGTATGGAGGACAATGGTAGCAGAAGTTCCAACAAAGCCATGCTGCTTAGCCCCAAGTTTCATGGGCAGTCAGTAAGAAAATTAGCAAATACGAGGCTTTATGAAGACTTAGCATATTACTTAAAGGCAAGGGGTTAGGACGCTGATCTGTGCACTGTCACCGTAGTGAATAGCCCAGAATCTGATCAGTAAACAACCTGGAACTCCTTTCACGGGGGCTTAGTGGCTAGATAGTTGCTTCTGGTCCACAGATCGTGGACCATTAAAGGGACTGAGAATCAGTCACTTCTCACCTCAGCATTCTCTTAGACAAGACAGTGAATGATAGAATAGTTCTGACCTGATGGGTGGTCCCAGCCCAGGGGAAAACAGCTACCTCCTGCTGATACTCACACAGGGCTGTCCAGCTACTGGCTGTTTATTACTGTGTCACTTACTAATCCATCCCTATGTCTCCTCTCTTTTCCCTGCTCTACTATCCAGCATCCTTACTGTTCAGGTCTGGTTTGAGTGACCTGTCTCCTGCTGAAGGGCTGGGGCCCTACGAGAGTGATAGGATGTGGAGTCTCCCTTCCCCACATACCTGCCACCAGGAGTCCTTCCTCCTCGTGCACATGCAAGGGCAGGTAGGCGTACTCGTTTACATGACCTTCATACTCCCTAATACACTTAGTGGTCCTCAGATCCCACAGCTTGATCTGGGAGAAGCACAAAGGGTTACTAGGGAGGGTTCAATTGGAACATAGCAAGTACCTGATGTAAAGCTAGGTGAATATAGCAGCCCCGAGCCCATCAAAATCAGTAACCAGAGACCCTTTCCCACTTCTACCCAGGCTGGGGCAGTGGAGGAGTCTTGGTACAAGGGTCTCTTGCAGAACACCTGTGTATGGCAGGGCCTGGTCCCCATATTCTTAAGGTCCAGGAAGTGTCTGTTTCCCACCTTTCCAGCCATGTCTGATGCCATCAGACATTGCTCTTTCTGGAGGAGCTTGACGGAGGTCACAGCTGAATCATGGAACAGCCTGGTGGCCTTCCAGCCCTTGCCTTGAGTTGGAGAACGTAGATCAATGGCAAAGATCTCCCCAGAACGGCAGCCATTAAACAGCAAAGGAGTCTGTAGAGGAAGAAACAGCTCAGCAGTTACCACCTCCTTGAAGGCTGGGAAGGGTGTGTCCTCCCAAAGACAAGCCTGCTCCCACCTTCCCACCCTGGTGTGGTGAAGCTGGGCCAGTGGGGAGTTTGGTTCTCAACAGAGGTAGAAGGCAGGGGGAATCCTTTTGAGAGAGAAGAGATCTGGACCCCACATTTCCACCAGTGTCCTCTATGGGGAGTCCAAAGGTGCTTAAGAGGTAGACCTATTGTCCACTTAGGCCTCTTACTAAATTCCAAGTGATGGCACCTCTTTCCACCACGTTGGGGAGGAGGAGGTAGCTAAAGGGCTGAGCGAGCCATTCTGTTCCTGCCCAAAGCAGATTGGCTGACTCCTTCCTGTTCTTCACTCTCTTAAAGATGGCATTTTCTACAGGGCTTACTGGAATGACCAGAATTTTCATTTTTAAATGTATAAACTTAAAAGTTACACACGAAATGAGAAAGTGGTGTGAATGAGCGCACAACTATAATGTTCTGCCTTTCGCAGTACTAGGGCGGGATTGCTAGGTGAGCTCTGCATGGAGTCATTCCCCAGCTCCAACTTACACATGCGAGAAATGCTTCATCCAAATACCAAAGAACGGTTACCAGTTCATTAAACAGGAAGCTGGCTAGCTGGGCACCAGCGACTCATACTTGTAATCCCAGATACTTAGCGGGCTGAGATTTATGGATCAAATTTTGAAACCAGCCCAGGAAGGAAAGCCCAAGAGATTCTTATCTCCAAATAACTACTAAAAAAACCACAAGTGGAGCTGTGGTTCAAGTGGTAGAGCACTAACCTTGAGCAGAAAAGCTCAGGCATAATGCCTAGGCCCTTAGTTCAAGACCCAGGACTGATGCCAAAGAACAAAACAAAAATAAGAGAAGGCTAGTTAAAGCCAGCTTAGGATGCCGACTTCCGCTCAGTTCAGACATGTTCACAAAGTAACCCATAAAGTTTTTCCAACTCTTTCTCCTGTGTAGAAGAGGGAGGAAGATGCCACATTGGGGATCCAATTCACCCAGCAAACTGTTCACCCTGAGCAAACTTCCTGTTATTCCCTCCCCAACCCAACTAACCACAACAGCAAACTGCTGGGCCAAGACATCACTGTTGGTTCCGTATGACTGCCGGTGTCCCGTTACCACGTCTGTCAACAGCACCCGCCGCGACAAACCTGACCAGGATAGAGAAGGGTCAGTGACACCAGGGTTACCAGGGTCACTGGCAGTCTGAGGAAAGCAGAGGATTAGGCTGGCAGCCATAGCTCACCAGTACTAAAGCAGTTATTAGCCTGGAAGTTCACACACCACGCGCAGGACCATGCACCAGGGATCCGGAAACTGCAGAGCATACCAGGCCGATCTGTACCTGTTGAGGGCCAACAGAGAAAGTCAAATACAATTGTCCTCCCAGAGATCTGCTGTCCTTTAAAAAGTGAACCTAGAATTCCTAATTGGAAATGGAATCCCCCAACGTCATTTATTTCTGGTGTTTGGAGGAAGAGCCTTTTTTTTTTTAATGGGGAGGCGGGGGAGGTGGGAAGGAAGAGGCCATGAATATGGTATTAGTGGATTTTTCTTTTTTCTTTTTTTTTGCCAGTCCTGGGGCTTAAACTATGGGCCTGAACTTCTTTTTGCTCAGGCAAGCAGCCCTCTTGAGTACAATGCCTCTTCCAGCTTTTTTGAGTTTCCTGCCTAGGCTGGCTTCAAACTACAATTTTCAGATCTCAGCCTTCTGAGTAGCTAGGATTACAGGTATGAGCCATCAGTGCCCAGCTGACATTAGTAGATTTGTAAGAGGAAGAGACCGCAGATAGTAGGTTTGTTCTATCTTACCATGTGATGCCCTCAGCCATTTTCTGTGCAGGAAGGATGCCATTACCAGGTGCCAGCACCCTTTCTCAGCCTCAAACCTCGGTTCTTTGTAAGTTTCCCAGTCTGTGGCATTTAGTTATAGCAACAGAAAACAGACAGAGTTTCTGGGTTTTGTGGTAAGGAGATGCAGCTGGGAAGTCTGGCTCAATGTGTCCTTATTAACAGTACACAGTGCTAACACCTGCAGGGAGGTAGAGTGTGTGTGTGTGTGTGTGTGTGTGTGTGTGTGTGTGTGTGTGTGTGTGTGAAACGTCTGGCTCAATGTGTCCTTATTAACAGTACACAGTGCTAACACCTGCAGGGAGGTAGTGTGTGTGTGTGTGTGTGTGTGTGTGTGTGTGTGTGTGTGTGTGTGTGTGTGTGTGTGTGTGAAACGTCTGGGATAAAGGGCACAAATCTTTTTTTTTTTTGGTTCCGGTCATGGGGCCTGAACTCTGGGCCTGGGCACTGTCCCTTCGCTCTTCACCTCAAGGCTAGCGCTCTACCACTTGAGCCACAGCGCCACTTCCAGCTTTTTTTTTTCTGCTTATGTGGTGCTGAGGAATCGAACCCAGGGCCTCATGCATGCAAGGCAAGCGCTCTACCACTGAGCCACCTTCCCAGCCCAAAGGGCACAGATCTTAAGGATACAGTTCCATGAGTTATCCATGGCTAAGAAACTTCTCAGAGCTCCAGAAGAGCCCTCACATTACTTTCCCAATTATCACCCTCACTTCAAAGTCTTCTCCAAAGAGAACTGCTCCCCTGATTTTTAATTTATTTTTTTGTCATGGGGTTTGAACTTGGGGTCTGGGCATGGTCCCTGAACTTTTTTCACTCAAGGCTAGCACTCTATCACTTTGAGCAACAACACCATTTCTGGTTTTCTGGTGGTTAGTTGGAGATAAGAGTCTCACAGACTTTCCTGCTTGAGCTGGCTTCAACACGAGATTCTCAGATCTCAGCCTCCCAAGTAGCTAGGATTACAGGTGTGAGCTACTGGCACCTGGCTGCTGTTCTGATTTCTAACATTAAAGTTCTGTAAGACAAAACAAACCCTTCCTCAGCTCCAGTGTTCTGTGAAGTGGTGAGGACACACTCCTGCATCATCAGCTTACTGCATGAGCCCAGGCACTGGGTTCAGTGCACATGGCCTCAACTGTCTGCACCTGCTGAGGCAGGCAGCACGGTCCGTTCCCAGGGGCTGGGGCAGGGGCAGTGCTGGGCTTTGTGCCAGGCCCGTCTGAAGTCTATACTCTTAACTCACTGGTCCAAACTCTCTGAAAGGCTGAAAACTGAATATCCAGAATGCTTCCAGGAAGGGGCTTTCAGCCAGGTAGAAGCTAAGCATTCCTCGTGCCTGCCCATACAGCGGGCGTTTACTAGCTGCCTTCTGAGTGATTGCTACAGGTGGCTCAAACCATTGTTTTGATGTGTTGCACTGGTTACCCTCACATTTGAGTTCTGCTCTGGCAGCTGCTGTGATCCCAAAAGGACAAGAAGTAGGAAGTCCTAAAAATGCATGGGTGCCCAGTACTGACCCCGGCACAGCTTAGGGGTATTCTAGCAGCGCCACTCAGCGTCTCCAGCCTCTAGTACCCACTCCCACCACATAGGGCAGATCCTAGGAGGCAGAGGTGAGGGACACTCAAGAGCACTGCTTTTTTTCTAGATGAAGGACCTCATACCTGGGTGACTGCTGACGAATAACGATGCCGGGAGCAAGGTGACACATCCTGGCGTCTCTGCAAGTCCCAGGAGGCACAGCCTGGAAATAGCTGTTAAGGACAGTCAGGTACAAGGCTCTCCACTGGGAGAAGGCTGGGCATGAAGGGTACCCTTCAAAGTAGGACAGAGAGGGACATCCACCAAGCACATTGTCCAGATCTAACATGCTCATACCGTCCACATTTAGCTCCAAATGTTCTTAAAGGAAAAGAATATAGTGCCCTTCCCAATCCATTCCCCCCTCCACCCCCTCCAGAGAGACTCAGTGATCTCCAAGCACTGTGTACTCTTCTGGGCTAGGCATGATAAAAGTCCCATCTTTAAAAAATTGGTAAACCAGGTGCTGGTGGCTCATGCCTATGATCCTAGCTACTCAGGAGGCTCAGAGATAAGATTTGAGGATTGTGGTTGAAAGGCAGCCCAGGTAGAAAAGTCCACATGAGACTCTTATCTCCAATTAACCACTCAAAAACTTTGAGCTGTGGCTCAAAGTGGTAGAGTGATAGCCTTGAGCAAAAGGGATAGCCTTGCGCTCAGAGACAGTGTCCAGGCCTTGAGTTCAAGCCCCATGATCGACAAAAACAAGCAAGCAAACAAACAATAAAGCTAGGATCTGGTGGCTCATGCCTACAATACTAGCTGTTTAAGAACCTGAGATCTAAGGATTGCAGTTTGAAGCCAGCTTGGGCAGGAAAGCCTGTAAGACTTGTCTCCAATGAACCAGCAAAAAGCCAGAAATGGAACTGTGGCTTAACTGGTAGAATGCCAGCCTTGAGTGAAAAAGCTAAGGGATAGCACCCAGGCTCGAGTTCAAGCCCCAGTACCAGCACACATGCATCATCATCATCATCAAGTAAAATAGTAAAGCATCAGCACAGAGTATTGATCCATTGTTCCTTGGTTAATGCATTAAAGCCCACAGGACAGAAATCTTCAGTACCCTTTGAAACCATATAACCTGTTTCTTTTCTCTTCTTCTTCTTTTTTTTTTTTTTTTGCAGTGGTTGTTGTTGGTGGGCTGGTAGGTATAGGTAGGAAGATCACAGTCTGAGGCAAACTTATTTTTCTACTTGAAAAATACCTAAAGCAAAAGGGCCCTGCCTAGCAAATGATCAAGACCAAATCCAAAACTCCAATATCATCAAAAGAAACAAAAAATAAAAAATACACACAAAAAAGGGAAAGATATGACAGCAAGTTTCTTGTTGAACATTTCTGTCTGATTAGATTGGTGTAGCAACATCACCTGAACAGTATCAGATGACAGGCATACACAGTTTTAGTTTTTACAACATACATTGTTCTGTACCTTGCACAAAAACTATGACTAAATTTTTAATGTACCCCAGGCTTTAAAATCCTTTAAACTGTAGGGCTGTGAAGAAAATTTAAAAAGCAAACATTGAAATTTTACTCAATCTATGAGAAAAAAATATTGTAACATTTATAAGGAAATGGAAAGACTTGGAACAAATGATATTAAGTAAACCAGACTCAGAGAAACAAAGGTTGCATAGTTTTCCTTCATTTGTGGTAGCCAGATGTACCTATAAATCTAGAAGTAAACATGTTGGGATGGCCTGTACACAAGGGGTTACAAATGAATTAACTGAAGTATAATAGACTCTATGGAGAGCTCAAATGGAGTAATCTTTTAGAAAGACTAGGTCAGAGTGTAACAAATCAACACCAGGAAATGGGAATATCCAAGAGTGGGGTGAGAGTACTGGGGCCGAGGGGGGAAGGGTAGAGGAATGAAGGTGGGGAGGGGAGAACACAACCAAGAATTCTTGTATATCACACAACTAATAAAAGTGGGGGAAGGGGTAGGTCAGAGGAGGTGAGAATGTTGAAAGGAGTGACTAATCAAGATGCATTGTATTCATAAACGCTTTGTTATATGGTACCTCCTCTGCACAACTACTTAAATTAAAAAACCAAAACAAACAACCAAAAAGGCCAGGAATGGTGCTGAACACCTATAATCCCAGCACTTGGGGAGCTAAGGTAGGAGGACTGTGGTTCTAGACCAGCCTGGGGTAAATAGCCAGCTTGTCTCATAAAACGAAACCAAACAAACCAACCTAAAAAATCTTAAAAGAGCTGGGTGCTGGTAGCTTACACCTGTAATCCTGGCTACTCAAGAGGCTGAGATCTATGGATCATGGTTCCAAGCTAACCCAGGCAGGAAAATTCATATGATTCTTATCTCCAAAAAACTACTCAAAAAAAGCCGGACGTGGTGCTGTGGCTCAAATGGTAGTGTGCTAACCTTGAGCACAGAGAGCTCAGAGACAGAGCCCAGGACCTGAGTTCAAGCCCCAGGATCAGGAAAAAAATAATCTTGAAAGAGACTCTAATTCAGCTTTCATTTGTTGAAGATCAAAAGTCCAAAGATTGAGCTAAAGCACACGAGGCAGGTGCAGGTGCTATGTGCAATGACAGCACACAGGATCAAGGGCTCATTAATTAGGGGAATGAACCCAGGACCAGGGTGTTAATCCTTTTTGCCTAAGTCCTAATTCCTACAGCGTGAGAGTTGGGTCTGCCCAAAGCTGCACGCCATTATGATACAAGAGGCAGGCTCTGTAGCAGACTGCCTGGGCTTCAAGCCCTTGCCTATCATTTAGCCACAGAGCCCCACAAGTGTCTGCACATGGGAACATCCACCTCCCTTCTACAAACAGCCATCACTACATCCCACCTGCTCTCATGAGAACCCCTGTCTACCCAGCTGCCACAGTGCAGCGATCCAGCCCTCGGCCACCAAATGCCATCTGACAAAGCCCACAGGTATCAGGCCCACCAAACCTTAGACTGCCAAAGGATATAGAATGTGAGAATCCGAGTGATTGAGTGAGGCCCAGCACATGGAGTTTACCTGCAGAGGAAGCACGTTAGCGGGAAGATGGAGAGAGCAGCCCAGCAGCCAACTCGCAGAGCAACGGTAAATATCTCGAGACACAGAACTGTGGCTTTCCTTCTTCAGGCCTCACCCCTCTGAAAAGGGCTTGGAAAGGCTCATGGGGGACAGGAAGGAAGTAAATTCCAGGCCTCAGTCTTTCCACACCAGTATCCAAACATGTCCTGTATTTTTTGTTGGTAGTGGTTGTGGAGCTTGAACTTGGTCTTACATACTGCCCAAGACTCTGTGCTCAAGGCTAGCACTCTACCACTTGAGCTACAATGCCACTTCCAGTTTTCGAGTGGTTAATTGGAGATAGAGATTCATGGGGACTTTTCTGACTAGGCTGGCTACGAACCTCAGATCTCAGTCTTCTGAGTAGCTAGGATTACAGACTGAGCCACCAGCACCTGGCAAGGGTGCATATTTCTCTACTCACAAACATTTTCAACTTGCATCCATCTTGTGACTCACATCCCAATGGAACAGAAAGACAATTTTTTCCAGATGCTGTTCTACTGCAATTGTTATTTTTTTGGTACTCGTCGTGGAGGTAGGCCTGGGTGCTTTCCTTGAGCTTTTTTTTGCTTACGGCTAATGCTCTATCACCGAGTCACAGTTCTCGGCCTTTTGAGTAGGCAGGATTACAGGCATGAACCTGGCACCTAGCATCCCCCGCCCTCACTGCAATTTCAACATGGTGCCATGGAGTTGAGCACCTTTGGGTCATGCCTATAGTCCTAGTGACTCAGGAGGCTAAAAGCTGAGGATTATAGTTTGAAGTCAGGGCAGAAAAGTCTGTGAGACTCTTATCCCCCATTAACCACCCAAAGGCTAATAATGGTCCAAGTGGAAGAGCAGTAGCCTTGAGTGCCCAGGCCCTGAGTTCAAGCTCGTAGTATGAGCATGCTCACAAATTATTGAAACCTCACAGACTGACACGCCATCTCAGTACATGGGAAGGACTCAATGTAGACCCCCGTCAGTGTACTCCATACCCCAGAATGCTGCCCCTTCAGATCACTCCTGACCAGCTCCAACAGGAGGAGGTATCCTTATGACCCAGTAAAACATGCCACCTCCAGCCCATCCCAGCCACTTTCCCTTCCAACACAAGAAGCCCCCTGGGCATGTTCCTCTTCCCCTGTAGGTTCTCAGTACATGCATCCCTTGGAAATGAGGTGGCCTGCCTTCTTTACAAAATTCTTCTTGCCTCTCCATGTTGGCCAGAACTACTGCAGTGTGCTCCAGGGCTGGTGAGACCCCAGCATACCTTGCGGTTGGTGAAGTAAAGGTTCTCATGCATGTGCACCTCAAGCGTGGGGGTCTTCAGGCCACGCAGGTTGATGATGCCGTACTTGGAGCCCCCAATTTTGACGTCGTTCACGGTGAAGAGCCGCTCACTGTTGGTATCCGCCTGGAGGAGGGAAGTAGACAGAGATCACTTGTCCATCTCTCCTGATTTCCACACTCTGTGCTTTTCCTCCAAGAGTTGTGGAGGGGCTGGGAAGGTGGCTCAGTGGTAGAGCCCTTGCCTTGCATGCCTGAGGCCCTGGGTTCGATTCCTCAGCACCACATAAGCAAAATGAAAAAAGCCGGAAGTGGCGCTGTGGCTCGAGTGGTAGAGCGCTAGCCTTGAGCTGAAGAGCTGAGGGACAGCGCCCAGGCCCAGAGTTCAGGCCCCACAACCAGACCCAAAAAAAAAAAAAAGAGTTGTGGAGATGACCTAGCTTGTCCCCCACTTGGGGTTGTGATCTCTGGGAATGCACACACAGATACTGGCAAGGATGGGGAATGGCCAGTTCTAAGTAAAAGCAGAAGAGACTTTTCACTGTCTACAAATGAAGGGATGGCATGCGTATGTGTAGGCCCAGAGACAAACCTGCAGGCCCCACCCATGGCCGTCAGGGACAGGGAGCAAAGTCACGTTGCTGGAAGTGGAGGTAAATGGGAGCTTCAGGTTCAGGCATCAATCCTTGTGCTTCATTGTAGGAGTCAGAAGCCCCCTGCTCCACTGTGTACCTTTTTAGTTGTATAAACAACACAGCCAAAGAAGAATTATGCTGTGGGCATTCTTAATCAACATGTGCCCAGACTCAAGCTCTATGTTAAATGAAAGAGGATGCCAGCTCATTACCTCTGCAAAGGTAGCTAGTAGATCAGTTAAAATTATCAACACAAAAGTTGGGTGCAGTGGTGCATGCCTATAAGTCCTCGTACTCAGGAGACCAAGGCAGGAAGATTGAGAGTTTGAGGCCAGCCCAGGACATGTAAAAACAAACTCACCACACCAACAGGACACTGCCTGCTTCATTAACAGCTTCTATGAAGCCAGGTCCAATGATTGCCAGTACCAAGCCAACCACAAAACACCCAGGGATGGCAACCACGCACCAGCACCCACAGCTTTCTTGTTCCTACTCACCAGGATGAGGTTAAAGCGATCACTGGCCAAGGCTGAAGGATCTGAGCTCTGAATCTGGACCTTTTTCCTCTCCATGCAGCTCATGCGAAGCTCGTGGGCTAACCTTCAGAGGGAAACACAAGTAGAGAGCATGGACACCAGCTGGACCCTACGAGACAACTCAGGGATGTACAGCTAGGCTAGGAGTTCAAGGCCAGCCTGAGTGACTTAGCAACACCCTGTCTCATAAAAACAAACAAAAGTACCCTTTCCCACTCCACAGATCTTCCTAACAATGCAGCCCCAAAGAAGGCCCACAATAAATCTCAGTTTTAATTCCCCCACAAAACGCTTAGGAAAACTAAAAAATAAGACCTAGATAGCCCTTCCCAGAATCAACACACTCTAGTAGAGTGCTTGCCCTATAAAGCCATGCTTCTAGACTTTATGTTGCTTTACTTAGTTTTGGTAGGGTCTTAGGCATCAGCCTGGACCTCAATCTTCTTATCTTGGCTTCCAAAGTAGCTAGGACTAAAGGCATACATCAGCGTGCTCAGCTTGTTTGTATGAGTCTGCATCTTGCTAACCTTTTGTTTAGGCAGGCCTCAAACTGTGATCCTTCTATCTTCTGTCTTAGAAGTAGCTGGAATTACATGTGTGTGCCACCACAGCCAGCCCTTACGATACTTCACAAGTATTTTGATGAAGTTTAGTACATACATATACACTTAATGCCTAATTTCTGATGACAAGTCATCAGGGACGAAGAAGAGGAAGAAATCTCTTAGGACTGAAGTTGTATGAGGATCACTGCGTAAACATCCTGAATAACCTCTGCCTAAATCCCTTCTGCCATGATGTAAGTGGCAGAAGGAAGGCAGCAGTCTTCCACGGTGAAGTCGCTCATACGACAGTCTCTCCTGACTGGATTCTTGGAGGGTGAAAATAAGGATCAGGAAGGAACATTCACTAAGAATGAGGCATGCTCTTACCGACAGTAACTGGTGGTGTTGAGAAAACCCAGCTGGCTTTTTCGTAGGAAGGAAGATGCATTAAATCCCACTCTGGCTATCTTCTATGTTAAAAACACACACACACACACACAAAACAACAACAAAACCAGAATAACAACAAAAACACAGAAAGATTCAATGAAGATTTGCATGTGTTATAAGAAGATAAAAGATGTTCAAATTCCATATTACCCAATGAAGGACCCAGACATTGAAGGGGCAGCAATGACACCCATGTAAGACTTGTTGGCAAGGGGCTGGGAAGGTGGCTCAGTGGTAGAGCGCTTGCTTTGCATGCATGAGGCCCTGGGTTCGATTCCTCAGCACCACATAAGCAGGAAAAAAAAAAGCCAGAAGTGCTGCTGTGGCTCAAGTGGTAGAGCGCTAGCCTTGAGCTGAAAAGCTGAGGGACAGCGCCCAGGCCCAGAGTTCAGGCCCCACGACCAGACCCCCCCCCCACAAAAAAAAAAAGCCTTATTGGCAAGAAGAGCCCAGCAGAGGACACACGGGGCCTGAAGACTCTGTGCCACACCTCTTTCAAGCCTGTCAGTGTAAACCCGGGTTGCGAGCGCAGACAGCCTGTCACTCTGCTCTGTGTCACACTCTGTCCACCCAGGGTGACTTCGAGGCCAGGCTTTTCCCTGCTTGTGCCCCACAGTATGTCTGAGTATCTAAACCTGGCTGCGAGGCTGCTGCTGGTATTCAGCGTATGCATTTCCACACCAACACCCTCACTTTCTATTTAAAACCGATAGTTGCCAAGTACCAGTAGCTCATGCTTCTAATCCTAGCTACACAGGAGGCTGAGATCTAAGAATTAAGGTTCAACCCAGCCCAGACAGGAAAGTCCATGGGACTCTTATCTCCAAATAACCACCAAAAAGCTGCAAGTAGAGCTGTGTGGTTCAAGTGACAGAGTGCCAGCCTCCAGTGAACAAAGCTAAGGAACAGCAACCAGGCCTTGAAATCAAGCCCTATTATGGGCACCAAAACAGAAACAGAAAAACGCCACACTGTGCATGAAATTCTACCATGCTGTCTCCCAGGGTCCCCAGAGGAAGGATGACATGGTAGCAGAACAGGCATGGAAGCAAAGGATGTCTTGTCCTTATTCTCTTTTTACTTGCCTCCATGTCCCAGGGTGTCTAACCACACCTGCGGCCTACCTTTCTCTGCTTGTCCTCCTCCTCCAGCAGCTGCAGCCTCTTGCTCTCCATTTCCTTGTGGCGGATGCTCTCCTTCGTGAGGGGGTTGCAGTTGTTATGGCCAGGGAGCAAGCGGAAGTAGCGCTTCTTCTCAGGATCATAGTAAAACCCTGGGAGATCTTCAGTAAAAAGCCATGATACATAAGAACTCATCTACTGAACACGCGATAAACTAACCCATCTAGGAAGGAGTCCCAGTGGCTTGTCCACCCCCACTTAAGGTGGAAGTCAGGGATGTGCCGGCATGGTCGTCATGACACTGGACTAGGCCACCTGCACCAGGATCATAACTCTGACCCACTTAGCTCTTTAGTATTTCCATTTACTCCTCAAATTGCCCCATGTCAGGGATGGGTCTGGTGACTCCTAGCCCATCTGAAGAGTCACATCTGGGAAAGAAGGGCAGCTAGAACAGCCAGGTGAGCTTTTACCTTCCCTGCAGGCCAGCTGAGAAGTCCCACCCAACAGGGCAGACTGCTTTACCTGGCACAGAAGGATCCCCAGTGGAACTGGACGAGGTCGATGGGGACTCTTCATCACCGTAGCCCAAACTCTGTGCTGCCCCTGTAGTGTATCTGTGGACACAGGTGGAGTGACTTGGAGAGGAGGGTTTGAGTTTCCTCTCATTCTGGGCCAGGTGCCTCTCTTTCTGCTTCCCATTCTTTAAGAGGATGCATGTCACATTACTCCACTCCTCCGTATCTTTTCCCTGGAACGTTTTGTGAAGATGTTTGGTATTTTCCAGATAAAAAAACCAGAAGTCATTTGGCCAAATAAGAATTTCCTCAGCTGGGTTAATCTGTCAGCTTCATTCACCCAGCAGTTACAGGCTGGGTGGATTTTATTCTTGATGAGATTCAGCAGTAGAAGAGCTTACATTGCTCCTGGCTAGCCAACCTTACAGATGGAGCAAGTGGTTCTCTGGGAGTTTGCTCAGCAATACTGGGAAAGTGCCATGGCTAGCTAAATGCTGGGTTTGTTAAAGTCACCAGCACAGCAGCTTCTGTGGCAATTGCAGGCAGAAGCATATAGAGGTAAACCAGATAAAATGCAATTTTGGGGGGGTTTGTTACAGTGCTTGAACTTGTGGCCTGGGTGCTCTCCCTGAGCTCTTTTGTTCAAGGCTAGTACTCTACCACTTTCAGCCACAGCACTACTTCTGGTTTTCTGGTGGTTAATTGGAGATAAGAGTCTTGCCTCACACTCATGCTGAGGAGGTCCCAGGGACACAAGCCCTGATGATGCTAGATGGGTTCTAGGCAGAGCCTGCTGCCTAGCCTAGTACACTTGCCTCTCGCCAGAACTGCATGGTCCCGACCAAGTGTTCTGCTGGTGGTTTCTCCTCCCATATCGTCCCCTACTCGGCCGGCCGCTTCTCTTCATTGCAGTTCCTATAGGTGACAGGAGATCATCACACACATCTTGTGTATTCCTGCTTGTTTCCACATTATCAGAACAAGGGCTGCCTTTGCCTCTCTCCTAGTACCTGATGGTACATTTTTTTTTTTTTTGGTCCATCTTGAGGCTTTAACTCAGACCCAGGGCATTGTCCCTGAGATCCTTTGCTCAAGGCTACTGCTCTACCACTTTAAGCCACAGTGCCACTTCCAGTTTTTTGGTGGTTAATTAGAGATAAGAGTCTGAAGTCTTTTCTGTCTGGTCTAGCTTCAAGCCGTGATCCTCAGATCTCAGCCTCCAGAGTAGCTAGTATTACAGATGTGAGCCACTGATGCCCGGCTCCTTTCAGACAATTTTGAGGGCTCTGTTAATTCAGGTTTTTTTTTTTTTTTTTTGCCAGTCCTAGGGCTTGAACTCTGGGCCTGGCATTGTCCCTGAGCTTCTTTTTGCTAGACTAGCACTCTAGCACTGGAGCCACAGCACCACTTCCAGCTTTTTCTGTGTATATGGTGCTGAGGAATCGAACTCAGGGCCTCATGCATGCAAAGCAAGCACTCTACCACTGAGCCACATTCCCAGCCCCCAGGTTCTTTTATCTGTATGAGCTCTACCTCTAAATCAAAAGGAACAGAAGGAAATCTTCCTTTCCCAGTATTCTTCAACCCACTGCAATAGGGCTCCTTCTACCAAAATATTCCTGCTTGGGCAGCAACTTGCATCACCCACTTGTCAAAAGCTGATGGTCTCTTTTCGGTTCATTTGGACAGTATGTAACACCACAAAGATTTACTCTTCTTCACCTTTCCTGTCCCCACCTCCCCTTCTTTTTGTGCTAGTACTGGGGTTTGAGCCTGGACCGCATCACTTAGCCTTTTTCTTCCCTCAGGGATAGCACTCTGTTCCTTGAGCCACAGCTCAACTTCTGGCTTTTTGGAGATAAAAGAATCACATGAACCTTCTTTCCCTAGGTGGCTTTGAACTGAGATCCTCAGATCTCAGCCTCCCAAGTCGCTCGGGCAATAGGCTTAAGCCTAGCCAAAATTTTGATTTTTTGCGGGGGGAGGGGAGTTGGTTGTGGGGCTTGAACTCTGGGCCTGGGTGTTGTCCCTCAGCGCTTCAGCTCAAGGCAAGGGTGTGCTCTACCATTTGAGCCACATTGCCACATTCGGTTTTCTGGAGGTTAATTGGAGATGAGAGTCTCACGGATCTTTCATGCCTGGGCTAGCTTTGAGCCTCGATCCTCAGATCTCAGCCTCTTGAGTAGCTAGGATTACATGTGTGAGCCACTGGCACCCGGCAATGTTCATTTTTTTAAAAATGGAATTGATACTAATAATCTTTACATCAATATGACTTATCTATTTTAACACTTCCAGTGCAGAGTGCCTTTCAGACACAAAGGTAAGTAATCACACACATAGCTTCCTTTGGCTAGGATGTATAATAGTTGTTCCTGGGGGAAGCTCAAGCATGGTCTTCAGGAGCCATTGCTTGGGAAAAAGGGTGAAATGACTATGCTTTTGGATGGGGGCATAGTATTATTTACAGAGATGAGGAACAGATGGCAAAAGAGTAAATGGGTACTAGGGAAGGATTCTAGGTTTTTCTACTTGTGGTGCTGGGAATCAAACCCAGGGCCTCCTGCAAGTGAGCAACTGGCCACCAAGCCACATGTCAGTAAATTCGCTGTTGAACCTGTTGACTCAGGATGTGTGGGAGATTTGAGAGGAGGAAGCAGTTGGGCACTGGTGGCTCACGCCTGTAATCCTAGCTACTAAGGAGACTGAGATGTGAGGATCACGGTTCAAAGCCAGCCTGGGCAGGAAAGTCCGTGAGACTCTTATCTCCAATAAACCACTAGAAAACCAGAAGTGGCTCAAGTGGTAGAGCGCTCACCTTGAGCTGAAGAGTTGTGAAATAGTGCCCAGGTCCAGAGTTCAAGCCCCAAGACTGACTTAAAAAAAAAAAAAAAGGAAGCAGCACAGCAACTTGAGGGTCATAGGGTGCAAGGGCTAGAGACCAGCCTGTATGGTGGAGCTGGTGCAAAGGGGACAAGAGGAGGATATGGGGGAGCACAAAGGGTGGGTGAGCCAAGATCTTTGAAGATCTTGGTTTGAAGCCAGCCCGGTCAGGAAAGCCCTCAACACCCTTCAACTAAGCAGCAAAATGCCAAACTGGAGATATGGCCTATGCTTAGAGTGCTGGCAAGAAAACCCAACAAGAAACTTCAGCATGGAGCTGGAGACCTGAGTTCCAGCCCTGGTTGAAAAGGAAGGAAGGAAGAAAGAAAGAAAGAAAGAAAGAAAGGTGCCACACCAGGCTTCAAAATCATTTAAAAAATCAAAAAGTTGGGCACTGGTGGCTCACGCCTGTAATCCTAGCTACTCAGGAGGCTGAGATCTGAGGATCACTCAAAGCCAGCTGGGGCAGGAAAGTCCGTGAGACTCTAATCTCCATTAGACCACTAGAAAACTGGAAGTGGCGCTTTAGCTCAAGTGGTAGAGCAAGCTGATGGACGCAGGGACAGCACCCAAGCCGGGTTCAAGCCCTACGACAAACAAAATAAATAAATAAATAAAATAAAAATCACAAAACAATCAAAAAGCCAGCATGCATGAAGGAGCTAGAGAGAAAAATCATGAATTTGAAGCCAGCCTGGGCTAGGGAAGCTCCATTCAGGACAGTATGGAGGACAGAGAAGGACCGAGGTCCAGGTGGAAAGAGGAAGTAAGGAAGCAGGGAAATGGGCCAGATGGAACACAGATATGAAAAACTGAGGGCTCAAATTGTAACCATGCCGGTGTGTGAAAGTTGAACCATGAACCAACCAATCACTAGGTTCTACAAAACAGGAATAGCCAATCAGGAGCAGTCTAACCAAGGAGAGCCCTGTCTGCAGCAGCTCTGCCTTGCATAGATCCTGAAATCTCAATGAGCTATCTATCTTCAAGCTATCTATCTTCCTATCCTGCATGGGAAATTCTTTTAACAGCTCTAGACCTTCAGGGTCCAAATATCCACAAACCCTGATTAAAACTATTAAAAACCCCAACAGAAACATTCCAAATAACAGAATGGGTTTGAGGACTAGAATCTTTCAATATTTGTTTAAGAGCTGGGCACCAGTGGCTCATTCCTGTAATCCTAGCTACTCAGGAGGCTGAGATCTGAGGATCTTGGTTTAAAGCTATGAAATGTGACATCAGAGATAGAACAAAATTGTAAATTATTAAAAATAAGGCGAAGCATTAAATTCCAGAGGTAAAGTCCCAAAGAATGAAATAATACACAAGTTAAACATCAGGTTACTGAAATGTAGCAGAACTTAGGAAAAGCCCAGAAAACTGGAAGGTAGTTTGGCCTTAGACTTAGTACATAGGACGCCTGGGAGGTGTGAGAGGTGTTATTGTCACATACACCCGCCACCTGCGTGTGGCCCTTTCTGTACACTGCTACCTGTGCATAGCCTCTTTACTCTGTAAGTCATGATGTGAGAGCATGGTTGCTACCTGATGAGTGGGGCATAGTGGCCATGGCTAATAAAGACTCCTTGCCCTTTTTATCTGAATTGGTGGATATATTTACAGGAAACATATTTGTAGGAGCTGGAATTCCAGCTCTGGCAGGAAAATTCATGAGCCTCTTATCTCCAGTTGTCACTGGATGGAGGTGGGGTTTAGTGAAGCTTCCCCTTAAATATAGGAACTCTTCACTTAGGGTTCTTGACTTCAATTGCAGAATAAGAATTTCTGGACAAGTCTGGTAAGAAAACTTGGCAGAGCTTTATTGAGTTAGTAAACAATTAGGCAAGCAGACAAACAGGCACAAAAGGGTAGGAGCATACTCTAACAGAATGTGGATGCTCTCACAGGAAGAGACAGAGAGAGAGAGAGAGAGAGAGAGAGAGAGAGAGAGAGAGAGAGAGAGAGAGAGAGAGAGAGAGAGAGAGAGAGAGAGAGAGAAACACACACACACACACATCCAGCCAAGGAAACACCCACGGAGACAAACAGTTCCTTGGGCTGTTGGAGTATTTATAGGATGAAGGCAGGAGGTCAAGCTTCAAGTTATTCAAAGCGAGGTGCTTTGTCACCTGGTGTTAATTCCGTTTCCAGGTAAGAATGCATCTTGCCATAAAATAGATCCTTACTCTTGAGACAAGGAGGAGCCTTGCTATCTGCATTTTGGGGCATCCTATCAGACAGTTGGTTAATCCTTGGGTGAGAAATATATCACTCAGGAAGGAATGCATCCGGCTCTTTCTCCCTAAAGCAAAAGAGCATTTCTAAGTTTCTAAATACCATTTTTCTGAGTTACCTTCTCCAGGCCTCAGTTTCCTTAAGTTATCCTATTTCATATTCCCCTAAATGACTGTTTCCTTAATCTTAAGGGAAATATATGAAGGACTATCTCCTGTATTTTCCTCTGTCTATCCGGCTTCACAATGGAGCTGTGGCCTTGAGCAAATAAAGCTCAAGGACAGTGCCTAGATCCTGAATTCAAGTCCCAGGACTGGCACAAAAAAGAAAAAAAAATGCTTAGTTAGTCTGCTCAAGGGTAATTTGTTTTTCCCCAAATGCAAATATAGTTTACTCTTCAGACCCACATTATGATATTAAGCTTAGTTCACACTGCCATATCATTCTACATTTTGTTAACTTTCCAGATCATCTAGCTTCAGCCTAGCGTCAGTAGGGTTTAGATTCTTGCATAATCGAGCTTAGCTATTGTGATGTACAATCTTTAAGATACAGGTATTTCTTTTGTGGTGCTAATCCAGGTCTAACACAAAGTTCTAGCCTTGTTCATCTTTCTATTCCTTACATCCAAGATCTATTAGACTGACATATTCCCTTCCCCTACAATTAAAAATCCAACAGTGATAAGCCAGTGGCTCATGCCTGTAATCCTAGCTACTCAGGAGGCTGAGATCTGCAGATCGCAGTTCAAAGCTAGCCCGGGCAGGAAGGTCTGTGAGCCTCTTATCTCCAATAAACCACCAGAAAACCTGAAGTGGCGCTGTGGCTCAAGCGGTAGAGTGCTCGCCTTGAGCTGAAGAACTAAGGGACAGTGTCTAGGCCCAGAGTTCAAGCCCCATAGCCAGGAAAAACAAAAACAAAAACAAAAAAAACTAACAATAAGCCTGGCTTTGGTGTAATCTTAACTACTTAGGAGACTGAGATCTAAGGATCTTGGTTCAAAGACAGCCCACACAGACAAATCAGAGACTCCAGTTAACCAGGGAGCTGCTAGTTTGCAATCTTCCAGTCTCAACCTCCCCAGTGCAGGGATTACAGGTGTGCATCACCATTTGTGGCTTAAAGTCCACAATCTTAACTAGTTTTAGCTATAGCACCCTCCCCCTGCCCCAGCCTTCTGGTCCAGATTTAGTCTTCATAGAGGCATGCTTCTTAATTTCATTGCCTTTCAGTTAGGTATGTTTCAGATGCATACAACAAAGGTTTTGTATGGTTTGAAGGACTTGCAGTTTCGTGTGTAAGTGGCACTTACTCTCTTCCAAGTCCCTTCCTAAGTCTAGCCTTAATACTTCCATGGTTTACATCCTGAAAAAAGGTTGAGGACTAGAGGGCTCCAGTGAATAGCTGGAAGTTGGAACCCAGAGTTCCAGATACTGAAATGCTAGTGAGCAGCAAGCAGACCCATTGTGTGCTCAGACAAAAGGGGTGAGGAGGAAGGGTATGCATTCCGGCCTCTGCAAACATACTAAAAGCTCCATTGAGCTGGGCCACAATCCTGGCTACTCAAGAGGCTGAGATCTGAGGATCTGTGGTTTGAAGTTAGCCGGGGTAGGAAACTTCCTGAGACTCATCTCCAATTTACCACAGGAAAAGCTGGAAGTGTTGCTGTAGCTCAAGTGGAGGTGCTAGCCTTGAGTAAAAGCTTAGGGACAGTGCCCAGGCCCAGAATTTAAGGGGTGGGGGTGGGTGAGCTGGTGGCTCATGCCTGTAATCCTAGCTACTCAGGAGGCTGAGATCTGAGGTTCAAAGTCAGCCCAGGCTCAAGTGGTAGAGCATTAGTCTTAAGCTGAAGAGCTCAGAGACAGTGCCCAAGCCCAGAGTTCAAGCCCCATGACCCACCAAAAAACAAAAACAATTATTCATTAAAAAAGTTTTTTTTTTTAGTAGCTGTATGGAGGCTTAACTCAGACTTTGAGCTTTCCTTCCACTTTTTCATTCAAGATTGCTGCTCTACCACTTAAAGCACAGCTCTACTTCTGGCTTTTTGATGGTTAATTAGTAATAAGAGTCTCATGGAGTTTTCTGCCGGGGATGGTTTGGAACCTTGATAGTAAGATCTCAGCCTATTCAGTAGCTAAGATTACAAGTGTGAGCCACCAGTGCCTGACTCCATTGCATACTTTAAAAGTGACTTTTATGTGTATGAATTATATCTAAAAGTTAAAAAGATGTTTACTATATTACAAAGCAATAAACAGCCTAAATATCCAATAGGAAAATTCCACATCGGGCCCCTACTGTCCAGGGTTCTGCAATACTCCAATACCATTGGCTGGAAGCCAAATTCAAAATGGCCCCCTCCAACAAGGTTCCCACCCTTAAAGTAAAATGTCCACACCTGGAGCGATGCAGGATGGAACGGCAAATATGCAGACAGCACAGGTTAGAATTCTTCTGCTTAGGGGGGTGGGGGTGGAAGATGGAAAAGGATAGGAAGGTCAAACAAAGGAAGAGGCAACAATGCTTGATAAGAAATGTACTCATTATCTTGCCCATGTAATTGTAACCCCTCTATACTGTATTTTCACAATAAAAAAAAATTCTACTGCTTAGTGTGTCAACATCACAATAAACACATCAACCTTTGTATTACTGTCCACGCTCAACACAAACTGGAAATGGTGTTTAAAAAGCATTCACACAAACTTAACAATTACTGGGAGAACTCACATTACATCTCAACTAGGCAGACCTCTGCGCCTGGCTGCTCACAGGTCACCATCTCAACTACTACTGGGCTTACTTTTTGTTTTAATGTAAACATTTTAATTAATTTTTTTTTAAATCAGGTTTCAAGGCCTTGCTTAAGCGGGAGCTCCGTCACTTGAGCCACGCCCCCAGCTTTCCACCGGTATTGAAAACCAGCTCTTGGAGCTAGAAGCTGTTCGCCACCTTTCCGTCCGTTTTGCCCCCCCGGCTCATTTACAAGACAGAGCTCGTGAACCTCCAAGATGTGTGTGTCGGGGAGGGGGGGAGGAGAGTCGTGGTCCTGGGTCACTAGGGAGACCACGAGGACCCCAGGACACGGAACCGGGAAGCTGGCCCTTAGGACATGCAGTCTTCCCCAGCCGGGTGGAGGGTTGAAGCCGTTAGCATTACATATTGGATATTTAGGAGAACGTCTGTCCTTCGGGGTCCTCTTTCCCTGGGTCCACCCCGGGAGAGGACCCGACCCGCAGGGTAGGCCCGGCTCCGCGCACCCACGAAGGCTTCGGCCCACCCGCGCCCTCCTCCCTCCTGGCCTTCCTCGTGCCGCCCCCGGCCCCGATCGCACATCAGCTCTGCAGAAGACAAGCAGCAGCCCTCGGACCGGCGCCGGCGCCCCGCCGCTACGGTCAGCACAGGTGTACCTGGTTAGCACGTCCTCTCCGCTCCCCGCCAACAGCTCCGCTGAAGCAGAGGCCAGGCGTGCCAGGACCCGGAAAGACCGACCGAACATGTAGCGTCAACCAATAGGTGAGTCTGTTTTTGTGTTGTCGCAGCTGATAGGGCTACGGCGGACGGCTCTGCCTTCTCATTGGACACAGATTCACTCTGTGGCCGTCAATAAGGACGATCTTACGGAGAGGGCGGGGCTTGGGGATTCTGCCCGGCCCTTCCCCGGACAAGTCTAGGCCCAGGTGCGCCTGGGGGCGTGGCCGAGCGCGCGGGCGGGCGGGTGGGTGCTGTGAGGGGCGCAGAGGAGCCGGGTAACTGGATAACCTATCCGCAGGCGGTAGGTTGTCCCTCGGGTCGCAGCTCACGCCACGTGGGACCGGTACCTAGGCCAAGAGTTATCATTTAAATTTGGGGGAAGAAGAGAGACTGAAGAAAGGGCAAAGGAGTCCCTTGAGATGAGGGAGAGATAAAGGCGTGGGCAGAGACTCCCTTGGCTGAGGCTGCTGGGCTTACGCTTGCCAAAGGCCTTGTCCTGAACTGGGATTGGGTGAGCTGTGGATCTAGGTCGAGTTGTTTCCAACTTGCAGTGTGACCTTGGGCGAGCTTTTCTCTGTGCCTTCTGACGTGATGTGCTGTTGTCTTTGCCAGTTCAGTTTGTTCATACAACCAGATTTCTAGAATGATGCCTGTTCTAGGCATCGGCTGACAGCCCTGAGAGGCTCTACTAGGAAAATGGAAGCCTGTGACAGGCACTTGGTCACAAGTGACAGTTTTGTGAGGAGGGCTAAGTTCCAATAGTCCAGGCTTGATGAAGACATTATGATGTGCTCTGTTAACTCAGGACTCTGTGTATGGCTGGACCCGTTAGAAATTAGGTGGTGGGGTTTACCAGTGGCACTCCTGGCAAGGAGCAGTTTACAGATGGGAATAGCTAGATAGAAGGACAGCTTCTGGAAGCTGAGCTGTCCTAAAGAGGAGGCAGAGAGAGAAGTTCAGTGCAGATCAAACACCATGGCTGGGCCTGTGCTAGCAGTGGTTTGAGCTGGTGGGGAGGTCATCTTGTCTTGGAAGCATAGCTGGCAAGTGTCTGGAAAAGTGTCTGGGACTTCATAAGGTGAGGCCTCAGAAGCAGGTTATGAGTAGCCGCAGGAGGCTCTGAAGGCTACAGAGATGGAGTGTGACAACTCGTTTTGTGCTTTGGGAATGCTACCTGGGTGGGAACAACAGCCCTTTGGGAAAGACAATCAGCTCTGAAGGGGGTTGCAGCCAGGTGGAAGGGTAGATGGGAGACAGTTCAGGGGGAGATTCAACAAAGCAGGAGCCTGTACGAAAGAGTTGGGATCACTGGAGAAATCCAAGAGGCTGGCAAACAGCCACTCAGTGAATTTCAGTGAATTGAAAACCAGAGGAGCCTTAGTGGGTAGCACTAGACATGCCTTAGAGTCCGTGACCAGCCCACAATCCACAAAGGACACTTGGCCTCAGCCCAGTCATGTGGCTTCTCAGCTCAGTTTTCTCACAGGTAAAATGAGGATAAGATACTGTGGACAAAGCACCGCACCCAGTCCTTAGTTTTGATCAAACATCTTCTATTACGAATCTGGAATTTGGCTTCGTGTCTGATGGTATATATCACCCCCAAAAGAAAAATAAGTACTTCTTTTATCCCATTCAAATTTTTCAGAATTTGAAGGCAAGGCAAAGACACTTTTTTTCCTTTGAAATGGGATCTAGAATGAATCAACATTAAATTTGTCTACATACAAATATATAAAGAAGGGCTGGGAAGATGGCTCAGTGGTAGAGTGCTTGCCTGGCATGCATGAGGCCCTGGCTTCGATTCCTCAGCACCACATAAGCAGAAATATCTGGAAGTGGCGTTGTGGCTCAAGTAGTAGGGTGCTAGCTCTGAACTGAAGAGCTGAGGGACAGCACCCAGGTCCAGAGTTCAGGCCCCACGACCGACAAAAAACAAACAAACAAAAAAACCCAAATATATAAAGAAGAATTTTCTAGTCCTTATCTTTCACCATCTATTTCCTAGTCCTCCTTCATATACTCGTTCTCTTAATTAAAGTAACACAGTGAGGTATGTACTGTTACTATCACTGCCTTATTGATGAATAACAGGTGACAAACTTAAGCAAGGTTACATAAGGCACTGGAGTGGCAGAGCTGGGACTCAAACTCAGGCAGTCTGTTTCCTGAATTTGCTCTCAAGCAAATCACAGTGAGAGCTGGAGGATATGTCAGCATGGTATAAAGCATTTGCTACTTCATATCATAGGAAAGGGCTAATTTTCCTAACATACACAATAAATACACATCACATACATGTATACAAATAACAAATAATAATGCATAAAAATAATCCTATGGATAAACTGATAGAAAATGAACAATGGCTATAAACAATACATGGAAAAAGAAAGTATAGGCATGCTGGTTTGTGGTTGAAGGCTAAGGTAGGAATGTAAGACCATCTTGCACCTAAAAAAAGAAGAAAAAGAAATGATGCTTAGACTCACATAATGTAAGGAGATTATAGCTTAATACTCTTCTGAAATACACACACACACACACACATATATACATATATATGTACACACATATCTTGGCAATCTTCTTGCTTCTTGAGTAGCTGGGATTACAGGCATGTACTACTTCTTGCTTCTTGAGTAGCTAGGATTACAGGTATGTACTACCATGCCCTGGGTCATTTGATATTCCTTTTCATAGACACAATCTAGTGTTCATGATAAGTTTAAAAATACTTAGTGAGTGAGATGCTCATATAATCTCCAAAGACAAAAATTTTCCATAAACTTATCAAAAATTTAACATACACAAACCTTTGACCCAGAAATTTGACCTGCTAGAAATTTATCCTAAAAATATCTTTAATTATATATGAACTCACTTAGATACATGGAGCATTATTTGTAATTAGCTAAAGTTTGGGAGCAGTCTTCATATACATACATATATTTATTTATCTATTCACTTTTTTAAATTTTTTGCCAGACTAGTGGCTTGAACTCAGGGGCCGGGCACTGTCCCTGAGTTTCTTTTGCTAAAGGCTAGGGCTCTACCACTTGAGCCACACCCAGGCCTGCCTGCTATTATTCTACCTGTACTTTATTGCGGTCAGCACTGTGCCCCAGCATTCTGCTTTCACTGTAGCTGGGATAACATGTGGGCTACCATACCCAACCATTGGTTGCGATGGAATCTCACTGTTTTCTTGGCCCGTGCTGGGGCTTGAACTCAAGGCCTGGGCTGTCCTTGAGCCTCTTGTTCTCAAAGCTATTGTTCTACCACTTGAGCCACAGCACCATTTCTGGCTTTTTCTGAGTAGTTTATTGGTGATAAGAGTCTCACAGCCATATACATATATAATTTGAATTTTTGGAAACTTTAGCTGTGCTGTCAACTTTGGAAAAAGTATCCCAGTTTACCGTGTTAAGTTGGCATTAATAGCCATATTGGTCTAGAAGTGTTAAACTTAATTTTTTTCCATTTGTACAGGAATAAATGCACTGTATTAAATATGTAAGGTCTTATCTATGTGGGTTTGATTACAGAAACTAATAAAGTATTTTCTAAATAAAAAAAAAAAAAGAGGGGCTGGGAAGGTGGCTCAGTGGTAGAGCGCTTGCCTTGCAATGCATGAGGCCCTGGGTTCGATTCCCCAGCACCACATAAGCAAAAAGAAAAAAGCCAGAAGTGGTGCTGTGGCTCAAGCTAGCCTTGAGCTGAAGAGCTGAGGGACAGCGCCCAGGCCCAGAGTTCAGGCCCCATGACTGGACCCTCAAAAAAAAAAAAAGTGCCTCACAGCCTTTTTTTTTTGTCTTGGCTGGCTTTGAACCTCGATCCTCACATCTCAGCATCCTGATTCACTAGGATTACAAGCATGAGCTACCAGCACCTGACTCACTTTTTTTTTTTTTTTTTTTAAATTTTTAACCCAAGCTGTCCTTGAACCACAATTCCCTGATTTCCACCTCCCAGCTAGCTAGGGTAACAGGCTTGCGCCATTGAGCCAGCAGTTTTCTGAGTGCAGAATGGGTTAGCTTCCTGTCCTGACCTGACTTAGGAGCTATGTATCTTAGGTTGTGTGCTAGAAAGAGAGGTGTGCACATTGTCTGAAATATAGATTACCCCAGTCATGTCATGTTTTGCTTCTTTGTGAGACAGATTAGACTTTTGTCTTCTTCCTTCCTTCCTTCCTTCCTACCTTCCTTCCTTCCCTCCTTTCTTCCTACCTTCATTCCTTTCTCTCTCTTTCTCCCTTCCTTCCTTCCTTTCTTTCTTTCCCTCTTTTTTTCCCTTCCTTCCTTCCTTCCTTCCTTCCTTCCTTCCTTCCTTCCTTTCTTTCTTTCTTTCTTTCTTTCTTTCTTTCTTTCTTTCTTTCTTTCTTTCTTTCTTTCTTTCTTTCTTTCTTTCTTTCTCTCTCTCTCCTTCCTTCCTTCCTTCCTTTCTCTCTCTCTTTCTCTCTCTTTTGTTCTTTCTTTCTTTTGTTCTTTCTTTCGTCCTGGGGCTTGAACTCAGGGCCTGGGTCTATGAGTTTCTTTTGCTTAGGCTAGAGTGCTTAGGCTAGCATTCTCCTACTTGAGCCACAGCTCTACACTGATTTTCTTGCTTCAGCTGACTTTGAACTGAGATCCTCAGCTATCAGCCTCTTGAATAGCTATGATTACAAGTATGAACCACTGGTGCCTGGCTGCTGCCGCCACTACTACTTCCTCTTCCTCCTCCTCTTCCTCCTCCTCCTCCTCCTCCTCCCCCTCCTCCCCTTCCTCCTCCTCCTTTTTGTGAGTCAATATTGGTGCTTGAACTCAGAGCCTCATTGCTCTCCCTTAGATTTTTTTGCTCAAAGCTAGAGTTCTCCTATTTGAGCTACAGCTCCATTTCTGGCTTTTTATTGATGAATTGGAGCTAAGAGTGTCGTTTCCTTTCTGCCCACAGTTGACTTCAGACTGCAATCCTCAGATTTCTGATCTCATCCCCCCTGCTTAGCTAG